TGATGGCGCATGAAAGATACTTGAGTGACACACTTGCTTTATGTCTTTGTATTATGTAAAACAGATCTCCCAGCATTACGAGGCTAATGAACAGAAAGGCTTTTTTAACTCAATCAAATTGTGATTTATTGGCCTGACAAGGGCATGCGATACCTTGTTCGCGATATTGTGGCAAAGATTCGCGAAAATATAATCAAATATTAAATGGACTTTGCTCTTTTAGCTTTGTTCTGTTTTATTTGATTCATGTGTCTCTGGCATCTTTGTTTTAGGGAATAAATGAAGTTTTTTTTTTTTTTTTAAAGCCGTAGTGCCTCAAAAAGTAAGTACAATTCCAAGTCCCTCGTTTAATATATAAGCAACTCACCTTATTCCTTCAAAGTACCACGTAGCGAACTTCACTAACAAGATCTGCCATTCAAGCACAATGGACGGGTCGTTTTTGTTCTGATGGTAGTGGGTCGTTTTCCTACGATTCATGATCACCCTCTGAAGTTCCTTTTGTTCGATCCCCGGGTTAATTAATTTATTGGTATTCTGGCATGCTGCAGAATTGATATATATATTTATATATATAATCAAAATTTACGAGGTACGTGATTAATGTGTAAGATGTTGAATAAAGTCATCATGCGTAGATATTTTGTTTTGTGGAAGAGAGGATAGGTTCGGTGGGTGTGTTTATTATTGGGGCTTCCACTTTTGGTGATGGAGGGAGGGGTATAAAATTGAAATGGGGAGGGAATTGAAAGAGTGAAAACTGAAAAGAGAGATGGAGAGGAATAGAATGGTTGGGCCGAGGGCAGCCAATAATGGAGAGGGATGGGGCCTCTTGTGTTCCTCTATATTCATGCCACTGTCTCTGTGATTGTCCCACAATGATGAGATTCCCATGTACAAATTAGGACACTAGTATCCTACATGTCCTCACAAGCAGCTCCTTTCCAACAAATCATTTGCCTCTTTCCCCTTTTGCTCTCTCACCTTCAATTCCCAAATACTCCCATGTCATAAATCAGGAAATTTAATCACTGGGATTCATTTCGCTGTTGATTAAGTTGCAGTAGCTGCTTTTTCACTGAATTATACGGCGCAGGGAAGGTCCATTGGGATAATGCAGTACCGGAATGGCTTTAGATGAAAGTAAAAGAAGAAGAGTGAGTAGGATAATTTGGGTCGAGCACTTTTTGCTTACCAATAAATTTATCAATTAATCCAGGAGGATTGGATTAAAACCAAATCTTAATTACAACAATAAACCTGAATTTGCACAAGCCTCGTTAGCTCTTTTTATGTGAAAGGCCGCACAGGGCAAAACCCATGAACTTCACAATGATGGAGCGTCTCTTTAGTCATTGCTTCAGACAAATTTAGCATGTGTGACAGATGGGAATGAGTATGAATCTATAACTGGATCATCATCCTATCAAAGTAAGTTTTGAGTCGTTACATCTATATATGTTGTTATGAATTTGCAGGAAGCCAAATAACTTATGAATGATACTGATTTGGTTTTTCTAACGTTCGTTGCTTTTCCCCTCCTTCTTTCTTTCTGTTTCTTATTATTGTGCTTACGCAACACACATGCATTGTCTCCAAAATTTTCCATTTTTTTTTTATTTTTTCCCCCTTCAAATAACTTATGACTACTCAAATTATTAATTTATCATCCATCCCGTTTGTGCTCGGTAAGAAAATCCAGTGTCATTGGTAACTTACTCCCAGATAAATCGGCCTGGTTTACAAACCAACACACAACCCAACACCCTCTCCCCCCCTCCCCCCAAAAAAAAGTTTCACTGGGGACAAAATTAGAAAGTCGAAGTCGTTAAAAGGAAAGAACCTGACAGGCCTACTAGTCCATGGATTCATGATGACGAAAAACAGTTCTTGGGTTCAAAGGCTTATGGGCGTCCATTTCAAGAATGATTTTTGGGCTGATAGTCCATTTTGGTCCAACACATGCGATTAAAATTAAAGCCTACGTTGGAATTTTTTTTTTTAAAAAGTTAATAATACTTCTTTTATTTACATTTGAAAAAATAATGGCCAGCATAAATGTGGTGGTTTAAACTGATGATTTGCCAGCACCTTAGAGAGAACAATGCCGTTGGCAAAAAGCCCCCCGTCTAGCTTCGGCTTGACCGTAGATTAACGCCGAAGCGACTTCGCGTGGATCAACCCTGCCGTATTTCTCAGTTCAAAAAGGCCAAGTCGCTCCTCAGGCTTAGAGATGCGTTGCTTACAGGCACTTTTTGATGGGGCCAGTCTATGAAGTATCTATTGTTTTTCTGTTCTTATTGTAATTCGCTTCCACTGCCTTGCTATAACTGTTTTTTTAAAAAAAATAATTGAATCATTTACTTTGTCTGAAAATTTTTTTTTCCAAATCCACTCCTATTTGAAAAAAAGATAATCGAAAATATTATAATGCTAGATTTAAAGTCTCCTCCTAATAAATTATAATAGGAATAATATTGAAAAAAATCAATAACCTAGCTCAAGTGATCCACATATGAGACCATTAATTTCTTCCACAAGGTAGGTGTCCCATGTGAGGGGGTGGAGGCAGTACAATTTTGCCCCTTTTCAGCACAAAAGAATCTGGGTCCTCCCAAAACAGTCTTATTGAAAACGTACCAGGAGTTAGAAACTGGTCGGATATCGCGTGAAGTTTCTGTTTTGAGCGAGCGCCATAAGCCTACAACTATAATTCCGCCCACGTCCGACGCAGAGACGTGAGAAAGATGGCCGGCCTGAAGGTGGATTAAATTCAGCGATGATGGGCATACGTGTGTGTGTATTATATTCCAAGCACGCACTGTTAACTAAAGGAAAATCAAAGTTGTGTGCTACCTCCTAACTAATTTATAGGAGAATTAAGAAAGTTAAATAAATTACTTTAAAACATTTATATTTATCATTTTTTAAAAGTAATTAATCTATTTTATAAACTAATATATAATATATAATATAATAATGCATAATAGTATTTTCAGAATATATGTTATAATTAAGTAATTTTTTGGCTTTCTCAATCTGTCTAAATTAATCAAACCACAAGTCCATCATTGATTTTAATGGAAGCCGAAATCAAAGACGTGTACGTTTTCGGACCCCCTCCCTGGCTGTAGCCTTGCCACTTATGCAAGTTTGTTTATAACACTGCCCTGTTTTCTGCTAAAGCTAGAGTTTAACGTGAGTTGAGGAATAGAAATATTAGTAAGTCATCAACACGATGAAATTTTTATGTTACATCACACACACAAGAAGAAAAGACTCTTCAGTGGACCTTTTACAGGGACATAATATAGTGAAAGCATATGATCGAGTCAGATCCTACCACATATACCATAGTGGCAGCTGACTGGGGCAATAAACAACGAATTCAGGTTGTTCAGATCATTACCAACGAGTGAAATGAAATATTATATTAACAATGTAGATGGGTTACCGTCAACTACTTAATATAGCTTGTTCTACTTATATTCCTCCTGTTTCCCCTTTTCTCATTTCTTTTCTTCTGCTTATATATGTGATTTCAGTGCAATTGTGCTGCTTTCAACTTTTCTTCGTATTTTATTGAAGACGTTATGGAGAAGTGCATTTGTCTCAAGTGATAGTTGGGTTCTGACTCATTCCTTTTCTCATTTTGTGGTTAATTTCTCGATCGTCTCGTTTTCTATGCATGCATAATTAAATTAATATACATACCAGGTTCATGAACATGGTGCAAATTGAATCTTCTTAAAAATTTGAATTCGTGGAGTACAATTAGTGTGTTTTTTGAGCTTGGTTTGGTTGTAATAAGGTATTGAGCTATGCAAAATTGACACAGGAAGCTGATGATGAGATCCTTGGGTGATAGATGCTCTTGCATATAAACATAGGTTGACATCACCATTAAAAGTCACTGACGAACTCAAAGTCAGCTTATAAAGAGAGTTGATTGGCCCACAACGCTACACACCCTCATACCAGTACTCAGCTTACCCTCTTTTGCTTATTTGTCCATTTAGTCCAACAAATCAAATATTCTTTATTTCAAGGTTCTTTGGATCCTCATCACATAGCCCTTCTGGTAGTTCAAGGTTTTTTCTTTTCATCTTCAGAGTCATGCTGTATGACTTATACAGTACTAGCACAAGACTTTCTTCCTGCCTTCCCTCTTTTTTTTTTTTTTTTTTCCTTGGTTGGGTTAAGAGCAAAAATTTTGTTATATCACAAAAGGGAGAAAAAGAGGCGACTTCTTTGGTACGCTTGAAGGAGTACACCCGTAGAATCAAAACCATATGTTCTTGACTTCCAAATAATAAATTAAATTTAAATGGAGACAACAGCACTGTGAACAACTGGTAGCCAGCAGCATAACCAAAAACAAAACAAAAAACGTTACACACACTAGTCACACCTGTCAATATACGTAATAGAATTTATAGATGGGATGCGGTAAAAACAATAAAAATAATTTGACTGCATCATAGAATCTATTAGTACTATTGGGTATATGCTTGTAGATTGGAAGTGAAAGCCTTTTTTTTTTTTGGTCACAGGAAGTGGAAGCTTAACCCCACTATTGTGTGTCAATCCACACACCCATTCCCTCACAGCGGGAAAAAAGAAAAAAACGGGGGGGGGGGGGGAGGGGAGGGGTGCACGCCATTTCATTCTGATCGATCTCAGTGGGGTGAATTCATAAAGCTTCAGAGTCATGGGCTCCTGTACTTACAACTATAAAGAATTGCCTCTGTGCATAGTATTGAAAAAAACAAAAAAGCTTAGTCAGACATAATTTTAAATTTTAATACATATGATGTCGCATTAAAATAAAAACTAAAAGTAGAAGGAATCTATGACCAACTTTTTGTTTCTATAAATTTGAGCAAAGAAGGGCTTTTGTCACTGGAGCATCTGAACAGTCTCTACTTTCTATCCAGTACAGACTGGTGATCTGTGTCCCTTGGCTGTCTTTTACAAGGTGCTGCACTCACTAGCAAGCCATGGATATTGAGTCGTCAACGCAAGCTAACGAACGTGGAGTTTGTGGTCGTTGGTGGGGTTACCTCAAGTCCTTGCCTGAGAAATCCAAATCCAAGTTTTTGAACGTCGCGAGCAACATAAAGAAGACTGCGCAAGCTGACCCCAGGCGAGTAATTCACTCGTTAAAAATGGGCATGGCTCTCACATTAGTTTCCTTGTTATACTACATCAGGTCCCTTTACGATGAGTTTGGAGTTGCTGGAATTTGGGCCGTCCTCACTGTGGTCGTCGTATTTGAATTCACCGTAGGTAATAATTAATAATGTTGCCGTCATCATCGCCTTCATGCCGTCAAATAAGTATATTCATTGAAAAGTTCACAAATATAAAATGCCTATGATTTTGTTCTTGTTCAGGTGCCACTCTCAGCAAAGGTATGAACAGAGGATTTGCTACCCTATTGGCCGGTGCTTTAGGGGTCGGAGGTCAACACTTGGCTACTTGTTCTGGCGAAAGCGGAAAACCTTTTGTCCTTGGGACCCTCGTTTTCATTCTTGGTACGTACTTTTGTCTCTGCATGCATTGATTTTGAGGCCAGAGCATTTACATATGATATGAAGTAATTGGGAACACTCGAGGATGCTAATTGAACAGTGTTGTTTAATTATATGTTTGTAGCCGCAGGGTCAACGTTTTCCAGATTCTTTCCTAAGATCAAGGCAAAATATGATTACGGGGTGTTGATATTTATATTGACATTCAGTTTGGTCGCTGTGTCGGGCCAAAGGGTTGAAAATATTTTCGAGCTTGCGTATCAAAGACTCTTAACAATTTTAATTGGGGGAGCAACTTGCATGCTCATCTCCTTATTCGTTTTTCCAGTGTGGGCAGGCAAAGACCTTCACAATTTGATTGCTTCCAACTTAGAAAAGCTTGCCAATTTCCTCCAGGGTATACTAGCAATCCGAGACCTCGTATAAGCTTTCCCGTTCTTTATTTATACCGTCTAACATCTGTAAGCCATATGTTTATAGGATTTGAATGTGTGTATTTTGAATGCTCCGAGGGTAAAGAGAATCCCGATAAGTCAGTTCTTCAGGGATATAGAAGCGTCCTTAATTCCAAAGCAAGCGAAGAGTCATTGGTGAGTACGAGTCTTTCTTCTTGATTGGATTTGTAAAATATTTTCATTTTGAAGTCGATGATCATATATTGTAATATCTTCATCATCTGTACGACCCACAGGCAAATTTCGCGTGGTGGGAACCAGGACATGGCCGCTTTCGCCTTTGTCATCCTTGGAAACAATATGTTAAGATCGGGGCGCTTGCTCGAGAATGTGCTTGCAAGATTGAATCTCTCGATCGTTACCTTAACCCTGAAATCCAAGTATATAAGACGTCATTTTAATACTCTTTTCATGTTTTCCGATATTTTGTAGTATTATTTTATCTTAAACTCCGTTGACTAGATGCTAATAACATGTGTTTGGCTCAATGCAGGTTTCTTTGGAATTCAAAGGTAGTGTTCAAGAATCGTGCATGAAGTTATGCTCGGAAGCCAGCAAGGCACTGAAAGCATTATCGTCATCCATCCAAACAATGACAGACCCATGCGATGCAAAGCCTCATCTGGAGAACTCTAAAGACGCAATCAGGGATCTGAAAATTGCACTGGAAACCACTTCGTTGGAAGATGAGGAGCTCATAACTATTATACCAGTGGCCACAGTCGCATCCATACTAATAGAAATCACCAAGTGCGTGGAGAAAATCCATGACTCTGTTTCCGAGCTTTCTCATTTAGCCCATTTCAGGACTATAAAACCCGATTTCTCGGTCTCAGCGGAGAAGCCACACCTTCTTCATCGAGGAATCATAAAACCTGTTGGGGAAACTGGCGGCGCCGGCCATGTGGAAATTACCATAGAAGAGCCAAAGGAAGCTCAGCCGACTGCATGTAAATAATTATTGTTGACTTGGAGGGACTTGTAATCTTCACTCGACACTTTTTTTTCTGTCATTAGTGACGTTTAGTGAAATAGTGTCTAACTCCATCTTATATCTTTTGTACTCTGGGATCTGAAATACTCCAAGGGAGAAGCTTTCTCAACTTCTTCCCTTCCTTCTATTGTATTCTTAAATATATTCTCATCACTTTCAACCAAAAACAAAAATTGAACCCTTGTATCTTTTTTTAATGTCTCAGAAAAGGAAGAGTAGTGAGAGTATAAGACTCAAGTCTCAAGGTATCTTTTAAAAGTGAATGACTGAATGTGCCAACACAAAGACGCGGTAGACGACAGTGTGCAGAGCCAAAAGGTGAAAAAGCTGACAAGCCACTGCTGCCAAATCACTTGGATCTGAAATCTGAATAAAATAACACGTCTATAACCAATGTGACATCAATTAGCAAGCAAACGGGATAAACTTAAAGAATACATGCATGACGAGTCAATCAGAAGATGAACCTAGACTGGCTTGACTTGCTTCCTTTTGCAACTATTCAAGCTTAGGAAGACGAACCTATAAAGAACATGCTCACCGTTAGACTTATAGGCTTACAGCTTGACCTTTAATAGCTAATACTATGAACACGAGACAGACCTGTCGAGTTAATCAAGGATCGTCATGAATAATGAAGCTTACGTCGATTATAATTCCAAAATTTCGGAATAATTACAGAGTAACAAGAGCGACAGCTGGTTGAGTGGATGAGACATGCGTTTAAACATTATCCGGGCATGTGTGTGTGTGTGTGTGTGGGTAAAAGGATATATAGTGGAATATATATATATAAATATATATATATCCTGGGACATGCATGCATTTGGTAGCAGTAAGAGATGAATATATAATATAATATGGGGAGGAGATGGGTATAGAGTGAAGTGAAGCAGAGCAAGCATGGGGTTGCTGAGATTGAAGTTTAAAGACAGGCAAAACAGGAAGATTCCAGTAGTGTGAGACCTTCGACCTTAAACCTAATTACTTAACACAGCAGTAAACAGTCCAGCATGGGAATCACATGCTGGAAGTCTGTAACAACACACACACACTATTTATATATATATATATGTTATGCACCAGCTTTTCAGTGTACATACAAGGTTATTAGTTACTTCCATCCGATCCTGAATACAAGATTTATTTTGTAATATAATTTATACTATAAAATGGTCCTAAGGTCCCGTTTGGTAGGAAGCATTGAAAATAAAGGATTGGGATTGAAATTGTAATTGAAAAAATCATTAAAATAATACTTAGCATGAGTAATTATTTGTTATAGGGGATTAGGTAAACCCATAAAGGTGGGATTGGGGAATACCACTTCCCCCCATGGTATTCTCCAATCCCACATACATGGCTTTGGCTAATCTCATATATCAAACAATCTTCTATACTAAACACTCTCTTGATAGATTTTTTCACTTGTAATCTCAGTCCCAATCCCTCATTTTCAATGCTTCGTACCAAACGCAACCTAAGAGTAATGATTAAGTCTCACGTGCACCGCACGCATGAAGAAGCAAAAGTTGAGTCGGAATTGAAAAGGCTCGCATGACGCAATATGTAATGCGTAAATTTTGCTTCCCCAAACCATTTTTTATTCGATAACAAATCTGGCAACTTGGGATGGAATAAGAATTGGAGTATACTGATGCAAGTTTTTCTTTTTTTGGCCAAATGCTGTTCAAAATTTTATTTCCTTGTATGAATAACTGAGCATTTTGCTTGCCACTTGTCCCGGATATAGAGGAACCAAATGCAGAGTTCATTTGGTGTTTTTTTTTCAAGGAGTTAATTTGGTGTTTAGCTGCAGGCATTTCGATATCAAGAGGAGTTCGACTTCTTGAAAAATCGGAATGTTTGACTCATGTATTTCTTCCTGACATGCCTAATAATTAGATTACGTTTTTATAGTTTTTTTTAATCAAATACAAAATGAGAATACGATAAATATCTAAATTTTTAAGAAAAGCATTTAAAATATTTAATTCAGGAGACAATCATAAATAAGCGGAAGCAATATACACATAGAATATTATAAGCGGAAAAATATTTATTATTAAGTTTTCAAACATGAAAAAAGTTGCTATTACCATGCACCCGTATTTTATAGTGACCTCCATAAAGATGTTATTTTTTGTACTTACACTATTTGCACTTAATTTTTATAAAAATTATAATATGATTTGCTATGATATGAATTTACTATATGGTGGTATTAATACATTTATTTGAAAACTCAAGATCACAGGACTACTGCATACAGAACTACAGATATAAATTAGCTATACTCTGAGCCTCCGAGGGGGAACAAGAAGAAAAAAAGAGAGAGCGGAGGAGGAGGCTAGTTGGATGATTTTCACTTCAGGGAGGGAACACAAAAGGGCCCCAGCCCATTCGCTGGCAAACAAAAAATAATAATAACAATGAAGTTCTCTCCCTTTCTCTCATAAGAGTAGTAGAGTACTATTCAATTACCACGTCATTAGTGGGATGTGATTAATTTCGTCCAAGGATAACAATTGGAACGTCGTGTTCAAAATCATCTACCCAACCTGAGCTGATTTGATTTTTATGGTTAAAACAATAAATACCCGAAGGTTTGATGAATCCATTATCTGTTTTTTTTTACCAGCATCCGTGATCTGTTAATTACAACTATAGATCTAGACACCTTTCCACTAGGGGTGTTCACGATGCCCGTCCGCCCGGTGCGCCCGCCCAAGCCCGGGAAAAAAAAGCCCAGCCCGGCCCGAAAAATTGAAGCCCGAAAAAAAAAAAAACTTTTGGGCAGGGCATATCACGGGCAGGGCCGGGCTTCGGGCAGGGTGCCCTGCCCTGCCCGAGACACATTACTTTTTATTTTTATTTTTTAATTTTTTTTTGTCTTCCAAAATACCAATCATAGCGGCAGCCAGCGACCACTTACACTCTCACTCAGCTCAGGCACGCCACTCACCACTCGACCAGCCCTAGCCAAGCAGCAGCCGCCAACCCCTTGCGAACGAAGTCCCACTCTCAATCTCCGTCTCACTCTCTTAGTCTCGCCTGTCGCCGTGTCGAGTTCTACCTCTCCCAATCTCCCTCTTCGGCTCTTCCCTCTCAGTCTCTCAGTCTCCCTCTCGCTCTCCCTCTGTCTCTCAGTCTCCCTCTGCCTGTCACCGTGTCACGGTCTACCGGAAGCAACGACTACCAACCAGCTCCACTTCATCTTCCTCCACTGACCAGCGAAGCAGCGACCACCGACCAGTGAAGCAGCGCCACTGACCAGCGAAGCAACTCACAGCAAGGCAGCCTCCAACTCTGTTAGTTAGTCTCTCCCACCCATTTTCTATCCGTGTTTCATGTTTGGTGTGCATGTTATTGAGGCTATCTGATATATTAGTTAAGTGAATCTGCAATAATTTAATTCGCATGAAGTTACTAAAATAACTACTTTATATGGCTGTGTCTAACTTATACTTTTGGGCTGCCGTCTTAATCGATCCAAGGAAATGAATTAAGTATGAATGTATGATGCACTGATTAATTACTTAATTAGTTTGTTGCTCTGATTAAATAATCTGATAAGCAATGGTGGGAACATGAATAAGCTTGGAAATTTGATAATGAAGACATTGCTTCTTAGCTAGCGGTTTCGTAAAGGTAGACCAAAAAATGAATAGACATTAATTTGTGCCATCACCCATCAGGATTATTCTTTAGGCAGCTAGCAGTTTGATGTGTTTTGTTTTGATACTATTGGACGCCTTGCTATTTTGGCCATTCCTTTTTATTAGACCCAAATACGGAAGATATGACCAATTTTTAAGGAGATTAATTATGGTATGAGAATTCAATAATAATCACCCTTGGCTTCAAGGAACACCTAATTTTGCTATATTGTTATAGTAAAGTATTATTGTAGCTCATTAATTTGTTCAACCTTTGCGGAGGTATACCTTTTAATTAATTTGTCCAGGATTATCTTTGTTCAATTCATATAGCCTCAATAATTAAAAGGTATATATATATATATGTTGCTTTTATTTCTTAGCTTAAATCAATTAACAATCATACCAAAACTGAAACAGCTTTACACCTTTTGGATTCATTGAAGAGTAAAGTGTTCACCATATATTACTTCATAATTTGGTATGTAATTATTCTTTGATTTTCTTTCCTAGGTGTTGCTACATCTGGAGGAGAGAATTGAATGGCTATTGGTGGTTGAAGGGTCATTTTATAAGCGTGATTGGCTAAGTTGGTAAGGTGCATCTATTCATTCTTTAGAATTTAGAAGTACATTTTTTTATAATTGTTTTGTTTCTAATATGTTAAAGTTATAATTACTTTTATTTGTATTTTTTCAGGTGTTCTATTTTTTTGTGGAAATTGTGGAGAGTGATGCCTTTTGAACTTCAAAGCTTCAGTTATAATATTGAGATTGTCTTGCTTGAAATGCATTATTGATGTTATTTAATTGGATAATTGTTAAGATATGTTTTGAATGATTTCTGGATGACTTCACTTGTTTTGAATTATTTTTAGATGATTTTAATGTGTTAAAATGTAGAATTATAAAATGTAATTTTTAGGTGTGTATAGAATTCTTTTTCCCATGATATGAGGGCAGGGCATCACTCTTTGGGCAACGAAGCCCGCCCTGCCCAGCCCTGCCCATGCCCTGCCCAAAATGGTTAGGGCTTCTACGGGCAGGGCCGGGCACCGGGCTGCAATTTGTAGCCCGCTCTTACTTCGGGCAGGGCATCGGGCAGGGGCTCTGCCCTGCCCAGCCTTGCCCATGTGCACCCCTACTTTCCACTATTGGGTGATTTAATTTATCTGATATTCACTGTTCATATTTTCGTGGACTGTAATGAAAAGGTGGTTTTACTTTTAAGTAATTTTCCCGTAACGTGCTCTTTCTTCATTTCTTGAAGAAAAGCGGGCGGCGGATGAGTTTAATAGTAGCAACAAAAGCCAGGCCAGGTTGGATGATGCTATATTGCTACTTAAGTGACGGCATAAAAACGACGAAATAAAATAATGAATCTAAAAATGTTCAAAATAATTTTTAAAAAATTAAACAATCAATCAACTATTAATTAACTATATTCTTGAAATCTCGTAATACTTGATTCGTTTAAAAATGGGTCGGACATGCATGACAATGTGCAATTTGAATATATTTTATTAATGAGATTTGAATAATATCTTGATTGAAATTTAAATATATTGAATTAAATGGGAAACAATATAATTAAATGAGATTTCAATTGAAGGCTCAAATAAAAAAATTAATAATTAATTTTAAATTTAAATAATATCTTAATTATAATTTCAATATATCAAATTAAATATAAGTATTGTCTAATTATAAATTTACTCAAATATGCTATCCTGTGCGATAAATTTCTAGTTTAAAAGAAACCAAAGAATCAGTGAATTACAGTACCAATAAACTGCGAGATAAAATACTTAGCATCCATTTTTCATGGGCCAACAGCCCATCAACTCTTCCTTCACCGCGAAGGTTTCTCAGGGCGGGGTGAGAGCGGTATCTATTGCATCAGACGATCAGTTTCACCGTCGCTCCTTACCCTCCCATTTATATCCTTGAACTAGGAACCAATTGAATCCTTTTCAGGTTCGAAAGCTAGAGAAGGAAACAGAAATGGGGCTTCTGTCCAACAGGTATCCTTATTGCCCCTCATAAATCGCTACTTCTTTTTTATGTTCCACGCTTTCTTTTTAAGCGGAGTTTGGAATCTCTTCTGCTCCCCGAAATTTGCGACAATCTATGTGCAATTTTGATTTCCATTGACAAGTATCTTTCCTCTTTTCCTTTCTTTAATAACAAAAACAATCGATGAACTACTACCGACGAACAGGGTCTCTAGAGAAAGCCTGAAACCTGGGGATCACATCTACTCTTGGAGGACTGCGTATATCTATGCCCATCACGGTTCTGTCAATCTCTTATCTCTTTACTCTTTTTTTTCCCCATAATTTTTTATTTGTTTAATTTCTCTTCGGTCGACATGCTTGTTCTGTTACGCTATTTAGAAATTATGGTGTAAAGGAAGACAAAATAGGCTGTACGACGTACTGGGGCTTGGGACTTTTTGGGTGTCAATGCCTGTTTATGGTACCCCTATCGTTGCCCGGTTTTAATTTGAACATCACAGAATTGCGTTTTAGCAAGGGAATTCTGATTTCTATCCATTATCCGTCGAAGGGCTTCCGGCCTGGCGGAGAAAGGAAGAAAAGAATGGAAATGCGAGAAGATAGGCAGTGAAAGATATAGGAGGTGTTTGGATGAAAACCAAATCATAGTTTCAGAAGTGATTTTAGAAGTAAATATGTGAGGGAGTTTACCTTGATTTGTGAAAAAATGCTTTTAAAAAGCACTTCTCCTAATTCCCAAACACCCCCATAATCCATGTCATTCCCGACCGAGTTAACTGTACGCTTTTATGTAGACTGCAAACTGATTCTGATATGGGTAACTCAGAATAGCAAGCTAACAACTTCCACAGTAAACTGGGTTACTAACTGTATTTAGTCCTTTCAAAGACTAAACAGAGGAACTGTTGGCTTGGCTATGGAAATCTTGAGATTTTATTTATTATTTGTGATACTGGTTAGATTGGAAATGCTAATAGTTCGTTCTATGAATTGCATGATCAAGGATCTGCTATTCGTGCTCCTACCTTATTGTACATCTTTCTATATGCCCGCGAGTCCGAGAAAGCAGGAACATTTTTCTCTTTTATACTAGATTTGCTGCTATGCTGCTAATAACTAGTTATACTAGCTGGTGGAGACTTACAAGTGCTACGTGCAGGTCATCACGTCGTCTGTTAAGTTATAATTTCAAGAACTCCATTTACATAGTACATAGAATTCTTCTGTCATCTGCCTTTTTTATATGTTCAGTTACATCTCCTTGCTTTCTCTCGTGTTGTGTCCTCATTGGCATTTAGGGTCTTGATGTTTTTATTTTGAATTAGGATAGATAGCCCACCTATTTCCTAAGAGGGAGCCAAATGGCTTGGATGGCCTTCCCTCTATTTTGAAGAATGATTCTTCTTTCCCTTAACATCAGAAGATGCATTGCTTTGTTCCCCTCTGTGGCAAAAGAACTAATTTACGTTATACCTATTTTCACACACACATCTTTATATTATTTGTGAGAGGAGAGGAATTCATACTTTATATTATTTGTTCATTTGGTTATTGATGATCAATTCGATTGCATACGTTGATTGATTTATGCTTCATTTGTCGGTCATGATGCTAATTTTGACAGTTTCTTTCCTTAGACAGGCATATATATTGGTGATGGCAAAGTCGTTCACTTCACTAGACGTGGACAAGAAGTAGGAACTGGTACAGTGCTGGATCTTCTTCTCGTTAGTTCAGGACCGGCCAGACCTCGAGAACCATGCCAAACTTGTACACAACCTCAACAGGTGCATGGGGTTATTTGCTCATGCCTCAATTGCTTCTTGGCCGGTGGTGTCTTGTATCGCTTTGAGTATGCTGTCAGCCCTTCTGTGTTTCTTGCAAAAGCCCGTGGTGGAACATGCACGCTTGCAGTCTCTGATCGAGATGAAATTGTGGTGCACCGAGCAAAGTATCTGCTTGAAAATGGCTTCGGTTGCTACAATGTTTTCAAGAACAACTGTGAAGATTTTGCAATCTATTGCAAAACCGGGCTTCTTGTTGTTGATCAAGGAAGAATTGGGCAAAGCGGGCAAGCAGTTTCCATTATAGGCGGACCTCTAGCTGCTGTCCTGTCCACACCACTTCGTCTGGTAACGACTAACGTTTATGGAATGGCGGCAACAGCAGTTGGGGTGTACTGTGCAAGCAGGTATGCGGCTGACATTGGGATGAGGAAGGACGTGGTGAAGGTTCAAGTGGAGGACTTGACGAGGAGGTTGGCTACTGGCATGTTGCAGGTAGTCTCGCCCCAAATTCCGGTGGCTCTTGCTTATGAGCCCCCTCCGATTGTTAGTCAATGACTGACATTGTCCTTCGTTTTTAATGTTAAACTTCGTAAAGTGAACACGATTGGTGTATCTGTGACCAATAAAAAGAAAACAAAAAGGTTGGCACATGCATGGGTAAGCGACTGTCCAATTGATTTGCGAGATATAACGTGATTTGTGGAGTGGAGTGGCATAAATAATGTTATATGTTTTATCTATGTTCTTTTGTCCAAGCCTCCGTCCGTCCCGCGGCAATGTTTCTTTGGAGGAAAAAAAAAAAAACCTTATTTTGGTGGATGCATCCTTGTTTGTTTAAGCATCATACAAGTTTGGAAGCTTTTAAGCGAGGCATCTAGTAGCATGATGACAATCTCCTTTAGTATCAATATGATGGTTGTAGGTTTTTTTTTTGTGTGGCCAGCGATGGTTGTTGTGGTTCGCGCTTCGCGGGCTTCGAGAAGAACATATTGACCAACTCCAAATTCAATGTTGTCAATGAAGTCCAGGGGTAACTGCATAAAATTGTTGCCAGCGGAAAACGTATCTCTTAAATTCATCATTCTGGTTCACCACAATTTTCGGTCTACAAAATGATTTTTATATTTAGAATCTGAGACAGTACTTGTCACTTTAAATTTTAAAGATTTTATTCTGTTTTAAAATGATCATTTTATATGTTGAACCCGATTACTATGTTAAATCTCATGACGAAGCTTATCAAACGAACCACACAGTGCGCCCAACAGTGATTTTGAATAATTTGGTTGAGCCCCCTATGTTTACCTAGACAAATATTTTCTTACTCTGACCTATACAAAATATACAGTTATAGTCCAACTAAAATAAACCGGGGCGACGAAGATCATAAATACGGTTCAACAGAGTCTTGCAGCGGAGGATGCAAAGCCTAAAAGCCCACAAGGGGAGGCGTAATTTTACCTTCGGGAGGGAAAAAAGGCCATCAGCGGGAAAAGTTAAATTCAGCCTTAGTTCCGGGCCCATTTTGGCGCCAAATTAAAAGGATTTCAATAAATTATTAAAAATCAGTGAGGAACCGCTCGACTCCGGCTCCGGTGCCTCCATGCAGTCCAAAATCAGCTCTTTCTTCAAATCTCCAGCTCATGCGCCAAAGTCCATTGACCCAGCCTCGGTTATTGACGGCGGCGATGACGAACTAGCAATCTGGGAGAAGAAAGAGCATCATATCTTCAATACCTACGAGCGAAGACGTTCCGTTCCAAAAATGTACGCCCTTGATAGAGTCCTCGATTTCCATCTTCTATATTTTCAAAATTGTTTTATTCGTTTTTGTTTATCAGGATCTGTTTTAGTTACTAGGAATTTTGAGAAACTCCGGCTATTTAATTTGAAGAAATGTATATGTTTCTCCTTTTCTCAGACACCCAACAAGACATTTTTCTTCCGAAGGGATTGCACTTTTCTCAGGGGATTAGTTTTTTCCCCTTTCTGATATGTGTCTATTATTTTTTTTTTTGGGACAAAAAAGAATCCAAGGCAATACAGGGGAAATTCACCAAGCAAAGAAAATCATACCAGTAGAATCGTGCTCAAAACCAGAATCCATTATAACAGGAAGGACAATTATCAAGAATAAGAAGAGAAGCTATGCTCAGTTCCATCTAGATTGTGGTCAATCTGATTTCCTGTTACACAATTGTTCTACTTGCGGTGTCAAATTTGCTCCGGGTGATGTAGAGGATGAGAAAGCGCACAAAGAATTTCACAAAACTTACACTCGAGGGCTTTCTTTTAAAGTAAGTTCACTGAAAAATTTTCTTCTTGAACAAGGCTTACATGTTTGGCTGGACATCATTTGGATGGTTATCTTTATTATGCAGGGATGGACTAACGAAAGGGTTGTTCATATGCCTAACGTCAAAGGGGATCGAATCATTTTGGTCTTGGAGAGTGACCCTTTAGCTCAGAAAAATAAGGTCTGGTCCTTGTAATTTTTTTTCTAATTCCAAAGAATTCTTCATGTTTTCAAGTTGGAATTCTGCATTTAAGCGTGGTTACCCGATATTAACTTTTCATTAAAATGTTGCCATTACTGACAGGTTGAAGAGTTTGTGAAAATGATGGAAATTGACCTTGGAACTGGATGGATAATTCATCAATACTGCAAGGTTGATATGCTATCTCTTTGCTTGGCTATTTCGTTTAGCTTAACAAGCCCATCTGTAATTTGATGAAACTAGTTTACTAAAGTACTTCCATATTGTTTTGTTTGTTCTGTTCCTAAGATCAATTGGTTGTCCTTATATTTGCAGGTTTATCTCTTCATTTCCCAGCAGAGGATTGTCGGGTGCCTTGTTGCTGAACCAATCAAAGAAGCGTTCAAAGTTATATCTTGCTCAGTTGCTGGAAGTTCCGATGGCAGCAGAAAGAAGGAAACGAATTCATTTTCAACCACTCTACATTTTGGGGATGTAATTTTTCGAAGAGAAGTGGAAAAGAGAACCTCTTCAGTGACTGAATCTGCAGAATTGTACACAACACATGGTGGGGCAATATTCTGTGATGACAAAGCAGTCACTGCAGTTTGCGGCATCAGAGCCATTTGGGTGACTTCCTCCAACAGAAGAAAAGGCGTTGCCACCCAATTGCTAGATGCCGTGAGGTAAATTAAACAATTTGATGATTGTCGATTCTTGCCTTTGTCGCCTTGCAAAAATGTCTAGTCTAATTTATAGCTGAACTGTAGTATCCATAAGGGTCTTCATACAGGAAGCTATAATTATTTGTCAGCGTATGGGATTGGTTGGTATATCATATGATCTCCGGGCTACTGCGTTGGATTTTTATTTTGTAACTCAGTATAACTTCAGAAACTTAATTTGTATGTAATATTCCTCCAGTCCTAAACGTAACACTCTTATATAAGGGTCTTACATTTAGATCTGAAGGAGTAAATCATGATCTAGTAACGAATTGAATGGTGCATGGTATTCAACTGAAAGAGCTACGCAAAACTGAAGAATTCTTGCAATACCAGAAAGCGAATATAGAAAATTATATAAGCAGAGCTTTATATTTAGTTAGAGCTGAACAATCGTTATTCCTCAATTAATGGTCAACTTATTTGTATCTAACTCTCCGGTATTGTTGAATTGGTGGCAGGAAAAGTTTCTGCATGGGTTTCGTGCTTGACCATTCTCAGTTAGCATTCTCTCAGCCAACTTCGGTTGGAATGGCGTTAGCATCAAGTTACACCGGCACTGGATCATTCTCAGTGTATAGAGCTAACAAAACGGAGTCATAGAAATTGAATACGCCAAGCCATAGTTTAATTACTTTTATGGAATTATGGATGTTGCAATTATTACACGATGCTCATTATAGTCTTGATTTATGCATACAGAACCCCGAATGCTTTCAATTGAGATTGTTAAGGTTATCTATGAGCTTATCTTGGAAGTTAATTGGCACACGTTTTAACTTCCTGATACGCATCTGATTTTATCAGCTGATTCTTCAAAAGTCTCTCCAGCACCGCTATCTCTTTTAAATCACATAGACTCATCGTTATGACTCTGTTTCCCCACTTCCGCCCCCACTTTTCATCAAATTTGCAGTTAACATTTCACGGCCAACTGATATAGGTTTGCACGCCAATCCGTCCGTATACGGCACACATTTTACTAGTGATTCTGTCAGTTTTTGCTTCAGATCTTCATATGATTATTTTAGGCTTTATTTTATTGTTTTGACCAGCAATGCCAAATTTAATCAACTCAAGTTTGTTTACTGTGACCCTGAGCAAGTCGAGATGCGAAAATGTTTTATTGAGTAGTCATTGTTTTCCTTGCTTTTATTTCTTTGGGTGTTGACGAAAAATAAATGCATTTTATTGCAATTCGGGGGTAGTTGTCCATTCTTAATGGCCTAGACGGCTTGAGAAAAAAAAAGAGGAAAAATTGCAATAAGATTCAGAGAACTAAATGCAAAAAAGTTTTGAAGTTTCAAGAGATCTCATTGCAAGACATTTTACTTGTTTAATTATTAAATTATTTTTTTAAGTATGTGTTGAAAATTGGAAGAGCGATCGTTAATAATTTAAAGCGTAACGATTAACAATTATCATGATAAGTATTAACAACATATTTTCTTAGCTCATTACAAAAATATGATGTATGAGTTGTTAATACTTGCCACGATAATTGTTCATCTTTAGGTTTTAAGTTGTTAATAACTATCTTTTCAGTTGTTAATGCATACTTAGAAGAAAACAAAAAGATAAGGTAACTAAAAAAGTAAAATCTTTCGTAATAAGGTCTCTTAAAACTTCAAATTAATTTGATTTTAAGAGACTTGTATTTAATTGTCTTATGTGAAATCTTATTGTAATTTTTCAAAAAAAAAAAATCATCAGTCAATTCATCAGCCACTGAATTCCATGCCTTCACTACCGCACAATTAGATCTCTTACCTTATTTTAGATTTCATTTTTTAATTATGAAAAATAATAAGATTCATAAAACTCACCGAAATAGAGCAATATATTCATTTCTGGAATTAATATCAGCAACGATTTAATGATGCTGAGTATGGAGGCTTTTTCTTTATTGTTTTGTGTAATTTACACCATGTGTTTAAGAGACATTTGAATTAGTTTTTTAAAAGTGATTTTTCAACATGAGATAAATTATCATAAATATGTAAAAAGAGTTTTCAACTTATATATAAGAACATTTTTTTTAATTAACTGGAGGAGGTATCCAAACTCTCTAAATTTAGAATCTCATCCAAACGTATTGAATCACTTTGTCATTGAAGCAATTAGTTGTTGATGAATTTGGTGGAACTTAAGTATGGCACAAAACTCCCTGCCAAGAGGCGCGTTATTCACTAAATTTGCAAAATTTTAACAAGTAAATTATTTAACCTCTTAGGGTCACTATGAAATTTATTTATAAAAAATTCATTATATATCAACTTCATCTTTTTTAATTAGAATAACAAAAATATAATTACATTTTGTCAAAAGTAATTTTACTACATATCCACTACTGTTGGAGAAAAGCGGTGTTTGCGTGCGTCAACACAGAAAGAAGTATTTTTGCGCCTCCAAGAAAATGCGGCGAAATGCTAGCGTCAGCGTAGACAGTTTTGATCAATATTTCCTTTAGTTAGTTTTTTCCCCCCAAGCACTACTAATCTCTTATTTGAGATATTATTAGGTATTAAATATAAGTATTTTTTTTAGTAGGGATTTAAATCTTGGAAGCACTGTTAGGCATTAAATACATCTCCTGATGAGAATTTAAACCTTAGTTCGCCAAGATTAACTCCTTCCACTAGACTAAGTCCTGTCAGTTTTTCCTTTAGGCATTGTTTGGTTCGAAGGTTTTTAAAGGGAGGGGAAGGAAGGGGAGTGGCAGGAATGAAAAATTATATTTGGTTCAGAAAAATAGAGGGGAGGGGAGGGAAAAAATTTTGTCTTTTAATGTTGGGGAAATTTCACTGTAGGACCGCAGAAGATAATTAATTTCAAAAAGCTCCCAAAACTTTCTGAAATTTCACTGCAGGACCAAGGGGCAAACTGATATTAATTCCACAAAGAAAATGACCCTATTGCCCCTCATGTGAACAAGTATGGGAGAACCCATTTGCAAGTGAGGTTAGATAATTTACAACATGCATAGATATATTTACAATTAAAATTAGTCCATTTATATATTACCTTCTTCACCTGAAGAATGTGTTTGGGTGAACAAGTGTGGGACAGCCCATTTGCAAGTGGGATTAGACAATTTGCAACATACATATATTTATTTACAACTGGAATTAGTCCATTTACATGTCACTTCCTTTACCTGAAAAAGGTCTCCGTGAATGAACAAGTGTGGGAGCGCCCATTTGCAAGTGGAATTAGTCAATTTGCAACATACATACATTTATTTACAATTAGAATTAGTCCATTTACATATCACCTCATTCACCTGAAAAAGGTGCCTGTAAGTGAATAAGTGTGAGAGAACTCATTTGCAAATGGGACTAGTCAATTTGCAACATATACACCTTTATTTACAACTGAAATTAGTCCATTTACATGTCACCCTGCAATAAATATTATGAGGGGCAATAGTGTCATTTTCTTTGTGGAATTAATATCAGTTTGCCCCCTTGGTCCTGCAGTGAAGTTTCAGAAAGTTTTGGGGGCTCTTTGAAATTAATTGTCTTCTGCGGTCCTCCAGTGAAATTTTCCCTTTAATGTTCCCCTCTCCTCCTTTTGCTCCCCTCTAAATTTGGGGTTTTTTGAAGGGGAAAGAAATATTATACCTCCTTATGACTAAAGTATCCATATTATTTTTTACATATACCAAGTTTACCCTTTTATTAAAAAACCCTTTTTTTTACTTCTATTTTCTTTTCAGCTGCTAATTTTCTCCCATTACTTGCTTGGCGTCTGCTCCTCTAGCCTGTCCGCCATTGGTGTTGCCAACTGCTTCTACCTCTTCCCACATCTTCGTTCAGGCAAGCTAGAGTGATACCTTCGTCCATAATTCTTTGCGGTTTTAAAAGCCTCTTACTTCCCATATAATATTGAACATGAAATTGTATATGACATTGAATTCATTGTTGGAGTTCTTTTTCCCTGCATATTTTTTATTCTGATTAATATTTTCGCTGGTATGAAGGAAGAGATGAGGTGTAGGAATGAATCAGTGCAACAACATCAATTCATTGTTTTTGCTGGTATTGGTCTGTGTGTCCATATATATATATATATATATATATATATCCACATGTTGATTTAATTTCAGATGCCATGTTTTCCAATTTAATATGTATAATAAAAAATTTTCATGGTTTTCCAATCATGTCGACTACTTTTTCTTTTGATTTTGAAGTTTGAACATATGACAATTTCAACATGCACATGTATATACACAAGCGCGCGCGCATATATATACATCCATGGATACTTGAAGTTTTTTACAGCTGCCATATTTTCCTTTGGATATAAATTAGCTTTGGATTTTTAGTTTTTGGAAATAAAGCACATGAGGTTGCTACATTATCTAATTAAGGATGGAATATTTTAAAGCTTGTTGCATAAATTTAAATATAATTTACATAATATGCTTAAGATTATAATTCACTTCTTTGATTGGCATTTATTTTGATCTATGATATAAATAATATAATAAAATAATAAAGAAATCTAACCCAAAAAAAAAAGGGCATATTTGTTTATAATTAGTTCTTCTCCCCTTCCTCCTGAACTAAACATGAAACATCCCCTCCCCTCCTTTCCCCTCAAACCAAACAACACTCAAAACCTTCCCTCACTTCTACTTCCCTCCCTTTAATTAACCTTCCATTCCCTCCCTTTGATTGAACCAAACAAAGCCTTAGTTAGCTGACATGATACTAAAAGTGATTTTTTTTTTAAAAAAATTCAGTTAAGAAAATATGTCTAAAAACAAATTAAATTGATATTTATATTTCTCAAATTGGAGAGTAACTCCTAAATGGTCTTGGAGTGGGGGGTTTTGGAAAGTATGGATAACTCAATGTCTGACCATATCTCTTGTTTTATCGAGGTTCCTGCATCTTACTTGGGAATGTGAATATCTCCATTTCAAAATTAATTATACTAAATTGTTTTTTAAATAAGTACATGCACCAACAGCGTGATCACCATATAATTCCGTGATTTCATATGCTTCATTCCAATCAAAACTCCTCCGCCCCCAGATAATCACAAATTACAAACACGTGTTTTTCTAGTAAATAAATATTCTGAACATTGCTTTATAATAATGCACCCGGAGAATGATTATTTGTCACATTAATTATTATTTGGTGCTTAATTACCACAGTTATCATCTCATTGAATATATTTGTGTAGTAAAGAAATACGAGGAAATGGGATTCTAAATTCTAAATTTCTAATATTGCCTTACGGAAATTGACTGTCCTATTTTAATGTTTTTGGTTATATGATACTATCTCCGATTCTAATTATAAAACATCATTCATAGTCTGCAAATAAAGTCTTATAATTAGAATAGTAGGTAGTATTGTAGTAATTTTTATAGTGCACTGTTTTGAGTAAAAAAGGAAAAAAATGACTGGCAGCCTGGCACCAACCAACAACAGTTTCAACTTGGAAGCCTTGAAGGTTTTTTGATCTCATGAGAGAGTTCATTTGTGCAAAAAGACAAAACACTTAAAAGAGAAAATACTACATACGCATATATGAATCAATTTCCCTTTTTTTCCGCCTCACGAACACATGTTTTGGCATAGAAGCGTAACCAAAAAAGGAAGAAAGCAAGATAGAAACTGACAGTTTGGTTATTTTTCTCGAAAAAAAGAAAGAAAAAGGGGGAGGCATGCGGTAGGAGATTTGAAAAAAACAATAAACAAAGGCCACGTCCAAACAAGGACTAGGATGCTTCCCATGGTTTCTTCTTGCAAGAGAGAAGAGAACTGGGAACGTCATCTTCACACCAAACCCTTATATAATCTTCTCTTTCTGCACTACACTCCACTCCACACTTATTACTCCTTCAATTCCCTTTCCTTCGATTCTCTCTTCTCTTCATCTTCCCCACCTCATGGCGGACCTCACCAGGCACAATCCTCCATCTCCACCCCAGATGCAGCCATGGCTTGTTCCTCTCCCAGTTCCCCTCCATCAACTCTCCTCCACTTCTTGCATGGCCCAGATATCTCCATTCTTTCCCCGATTATTCAAACTCCCTTCAATTTTCCCTGCAAGCCCACCGCAGGTTCATTTCGTCGCTCCCTTCTCCCCTTTTCTCTCCCGTTCGTTCGTTACCATTATTTATTGCGATTCGGTTTTCAGGGTTTCACTCCACCGCCTGTGTTCGCTTCAACGTTATTAACGACGCCGTATGCTATTATCAACAACTATGGCGCCTACCGTTTTGCCCAGTCCGGTTGCGGAATTTATGGTGCTGGAGGGTCATGCTTCGTCGGACCTTACGGGTATCTGTACCTTCCACCCATTCAATTTCAGCTAAAGGTGATGAATCATATTGGTTTGCTCTATCTCAGGACGTGCATGCTTGCTTTTGATTTGTCTTTTTCATCTTTTAATTTAGCAAACTGATAGAGAACCGTTCATTATTGGCATGATGACTTGAAGACTTATGGGCGTCTGCAAAGTGGGACATCAATGGGACAGCATCAGGAGCAGCGCAACCGCATTTCGCCGTCTCGACCGAGAATCGCGGAGCTGGAGAGCCGCGGGACGGGCGTGTTTCATCCTCCAGATGCCAACCATGGAACCAGAAACAAGAAACGCAGAAGGAAAAGAGGTGGTTAGTGTCCCTATGTACGCGTGTGTTGTATATATCTGTTTTTGGCCGTATGGTTCGTCACGCATCTCTATATCTGGGCTATTATGATTGCCTACTTTAACCATTATTATTGAGTAACGCCAAAGGGGGTTCACATTTTGAACAAGGCTACTTTTTCAAACCGTGCTACGTTATTCGATCATGAACAGACGCGTGAACATATATAAACCCATTCTTCCTGGATTATTAACGCAGGAAAGAGGAATGAGAATGGAGGGGTTGAGGAGACAGCAGGAGAGGGAAGCAGAAGGTGGAGGGAAGAGGAAGGGTCATTAGAGCAGCAGGGGGAGGAGGAATGGCGTCAATCTCAAGCGGACTATGACGAGGTGGTGCTGCCCAGCGAGTGGCCTTACTGATCATTATCCAGTCTGTTCTCTCCATCCTATTATATATGCACCTCGTAATAATTCTAGAGCAATAAGAGATTCATGTTAATTTATTGACTCCATCATGTTTACATCCTCAAACTTCTTTAATGAGTCTCATCAGTTCCTTTCAAGATATCCGCTCTTATGCGTGTGTGCGTGCGTGTTCCTTTGATATTATTGTCCACATGTTCATCTCCCCCTCTACATATATCCGCCGTATTTGTGAATATCATTAAAAGCCAAGTTATTCAAATACATTTTATTTTTTTCCTGGCATCATACTCGGGTACCAAAAAAAATAATTAAAATAGTATTACTTTCGGTCCTTAATATAAGACTTTGTTTGAATTTTATTTTTGTCCTAAATATAAGACCCCAATTCACTTTCTCTCTCATATTTATACATTTTTTTTTAAAGTAGTCCTTCAAACAATGATAGTTCTAGTCAATACACTTGATTAGCAATGATATTTTAGAAAAAACAGCACCTATTTAGGACAAATAACCAACTCAACTTACTTCTTTAATCTCTTCAAATTAGTCAATTAACTCTTATAATTAGGATCATTACATTTTATTAAGGAGAATATATGTTCACGACTTTAATTGGCTAATGAACGTCAAACGAAGACTCGGTCACTGGACATTCAATTTTTACGATTCTTCCCATATAAAAGCCCTTTGTTTGATATTAATTTTCTAATTAAATTGTTACGGGCAGAATGCCCCGCATAAGTTTCGAAAATAGAATTTTGATGTATAATTTCCTTGGCTTTCGCGTGCTGAAACTCGCACACATCTTATTTACAATCCGTGACCATGTTTTGAGCATCATGAACAACTGAATATCCCGGCCGGCTCAAAAGCATTTATTGTGATTTAATTGATCATCTCCACGAAGAGGTTTTAACAAGATAGTACACCTTCAAAACAACTACCCGAAGTGATCACGAAAAACATTTCTTAAGAAGTGATTTGTATTTTAAAAACCTACATAATCATATTATGTCAACAATTATTGTAATTATTAACTATAATAAATAGCGATATATAGTGGTACAGTAATACTATATGTTATGATCGATGGTAACGGGGCATGCTTTTGCTTCTATCAAATGTGCGTGAGCGTCCTTCAGAATTTTTTTTTTTTCTTGGGCCAATGCGTCCTTGAGATTAAATGCCTTGCTTCTAAAAGATGGGACGGGAGGTTGCGGTGGCATTTCAGTGCTTTCCCCTTTGTCATGTTTTATTATAGTCTCACCTTCCGAATTAAATCAATTCTTCTAAGATCGCAATCTTTTAATTATTAGCAGCATCAATTCATACTACCAGCCGATTTCTTTTGGCCAAAATTATTACCAGCCAATTCACAACTTGAAAATATCAGATGCTACTGATAATATTTATTTTTATTCGAAACTAGTACCCTAATTATCTTGATCTTCTCACGAATTCAATATAAATTTCTTAAAATTAATTTGAAAATCAAGTCCTTGAAACATTGGCAGTCAAGAAAGTTCATTATTCTAGATTTGTGACAGTCCAAACTAGAATACAAACTTTGCCTTTTCCACTATTAACTTGGAAGATTAAATAAAAGAATACACAACACCCACAAAATAATGTTTCTTGACGTTTAAACATCGAAGTCACGTCACTTGTCCAGATTTATAATATGAAGTGAAAAAAAGAAACGGTAGAGAAAGGTGGCTCGGAACCACAAGGGGCCCCACAGGGAACGCAGAGGGCTTGATTCCATATATGACCACCGGACCCGCTAGTTGGCTCGCGTTATTCTCTTCAGCGCCTTTGGGTTCGTTCCCGCGGGAAGGACGCAAAGTGGAATAGCAATTGACGAATTTCGAAATAGAAGGGATTTGGCGAATATTGGATCAAGCATTGCCCACTCCTATCTTCGTTTTCCTTGAGATCAAACAAGGACGGGAAAGTGCGAGAAAATCCGGCATGAACAATGGGGATACCTCAAGCAATGGATTTTCTCAAGGACAGAGCAGCATTTGTGAGGGATTCACTGCATAAGAGTCAGACCATTACCGACAACATGGTCGCCATTCTCGGTTCTTTTGATCACCGCCTCTCCGCCCTCGAGACCGCTATGCGTCCAACTCAGGTAGGCTTTTCTCTTCCTCTGTTTTCTTTTCCCGCCATCTATGGAAGGTGTTGTGGAAGGTCTGTACCGAATGCTCACACTTAATTATTGATTCCTACATTTGAAACAGTGTTTGTTACGAGGTAAAGCGTATGGAGGTGTTCTGACAAGTTGTTCTTCCTAACACTGTTTTGTTAATCCCTGTTTTTTCTCTTTTTCTCGACCCAAGATGATCTAGTCGGCGATTTCACATGGATAAAGAGTGATTAGGGTTTTACGTTTTTTTCCTTTGCCTTAATACATTCTGGCATTTGGTAGATAAAAACACATTCGATTCGAAGGGCGCATGAAAACATTGACAAGACACTAAAAGCTGCTGAGGTCATCTTGATGCATTTCGACCTGTCCCGCAAGGTAGGCCTCTATTTTTGTTTATACGTAATTCACACAGCACACACCCACACTTACTGTACTCACACCTCACTCCCCCAAGTTAAGCCTCTGCTTTAATATATGCCTGCATGTTGCAGACTAGCTAGTGACGATCGATGAGTAGCATTTATTTTTCTCTTATGATTTTCATCTCAATCTTATCAGTAGCTAAATGCTACAAGTTTTGGTGATCTTTAATCCAAACTCAATATTAGGCGGAGGCAAAAATATTGAGAGGCCCACACGAAGATCTTGAAAGCTATTTAGAAGCAATTGATCAGCTTAGATCCATTGTCAGTTTCTTCAGCAACTACAAGAGTATGAAAAATACAGATACAGTCCTGAATCATGCGAACAACTTACTTTCTAAAGCTATCTCGAAGTTAGAAGATGAGTTCAGAAATCTCTTGACAAATTACAGGTCACATTTCTCAAATTTACGTAATCTTTCTCTCTTCTCGTCCTCTCTCTGCATGCATTCAAAAATGCTGATTTATAAGCGTTTCGTTGTGTATCTCTGCAACTTTTTAATCTGGAAAGAACCAAATGATATAGGAGAGATGTGTTTAAGACTTTAGACAAGGACCAAAATTATACAGTCTGTTACTTTCGCTTGTTTTTGTTCATGTGTTTAATTTTTTACCATTAAACTTAAAAGCTAATTTCCATAAGGAGGATTCCTTGTAATTTTAGAGAGAGAGATAATTGCTCTTTGGTTTCGATACTATAAAGGCACTCGGTATGATCATTTTTTATCTGCAAATCCTTGCAAAATTCCAAAGTGTAGCTTAATTTCCTACATATTAGTGCCAACTGAACTGTAAAATACCTGATTTATTTCTCACTAATTAACTATCTTCTTCACGTAAATATTGGTCCCTACGCAAGCCTCATTTTAAAAACTGGAACGACTTCCGGTGTATTTTTGAGTTCTAAAACGTCTATCATGACAAAATTTTAAACAAACTGAGTGTGAATTTCAGCAAGCCTGTGGAACCTGATCGCCTTTTTGACTGCCTGCCAAACTCTCTGAGGCCTACTGGTCAACAAGGTGAGGGCGGTGGCAAAGGTCATTCCGAAAGCCAGAAAAAGACACTGGAAAAACCCGTTTTCACACTTCCGACGCTGATTCCACCGAGAGTTCTGCCTTTGCTACATGATTTAGCGCTGCAAATGGTTCAAGCCGGCCATCAACAACAGCTTTTTCGAGTTTACAGGTAAGTTCGTCTCTTCTTGTCCATGCAATAGAATGAGCCTTTTTACTTTTCAAGTTGAAGCTGGGGGATCTCTTATCAAAGAGGTTGGATATCTCCTCTTTATTTTGTCTAATTCTTGTCTTCTGGACTCTTTCACTGCATAAAAGGATCTACACCTACACGTACATATGCGTCGCGTGAATTTGGTTAATAAAATTAACCTTTGAGGGGGGGGGGGGGAGATTATCAGTAATTTTTGTAATTACAAAATGGCAGTGTGTACTTTGTTTCCAAAGCTGTTGTTTGCATTTCATTGGAAAAAGTATGCATACGCACTTCTTTCATATTCTATTTAATCATAGAAACTGTGTGATTCCAAATGTGCAGGGACACCCGCGCTGCAGTACTGGAACAGAGCCTTAGGAAGTTAGGTGTAGAGAGGCTCAGCAAAGATGATGTTCAGAAAATGCAGTGGGAGGTTTTGGAGGCTAAGATTGGAAATTGGATTCATTACATGCGGATTGCTGTAAGGATGAATGTGATATTTCATTTTATCTGCTCTTGACATTTTTTTCCATTGCATCTTTCTATTTTTGCTTGAACAGGTCAAATTGCTATTTTCTGGGGAAAAGAAAATCTGTGATCAAATATTTGAGGGGGTTGAGTCGTTAAGATCTCAATGTTTTGCTGAAGTTACTGCTAGCAGTGTGGCTATGCTTCTTAGCTTTGGAGAGGCAATTGCTAAAAGCAAGAGATCTCCGGAAAAATTATTTGTTCTTCTGGATATGTATGAGATAATGAGAGAACTTCAATCAGAGGTATAGTCAGTTTATATTTTAAGACAAAAGTTTACCTAGTTTCTTTTCAGGTTTCGATTTTGAATCTAATGTCACTAGCTGCAAGGGGTCTGATAAAATATTGAGGCTCAAGATATCATTATTGTTATTACTTAATGCTTTTAAGTTATCTATTTGGCTTTGATGATTCCTCAGACGGACCTTATATGAAGAAAATGTGTTATTCCTAGACCAATGAACCCGCAAATTAAAAACTTTTACCAGACCAGCCAACCAAGTCAAAGCAAACAGGGAGTGAAAAAACTGCGATCTGACAAGGGAAACTATGGACATTAGTAACATCATTTATAAAATTTGCACCATGAAATTGGAATACGATGTAATAAGAAGTTGCTAAAACCGCCACCTTAATGTTGTCTTTATGCCAACGGTAAGCTTATGCTTGACATCGTTGACAGGAAAGAGGTGAAGTGATATTCGTTTTTGGGCTAGGAAAGTGGTTAGGGACGCTTACCTTTGAAATTTACTAAATATATGTTCTTTTCTCTCTCTATTTTCATGGTGTATGGGAGGCAGATTGAGACAATTTTTGGAAGTAAAGCTTGCATGGAAATGCGGGAGACTGCATTGAGTTTGACCAAGCGGCTAGCTCAGACAGCCCAAGAAACCTTTGGTGACTTTGAGGAAGCAGTTGAAAAGGACGCCACTAAGACTACTGTATTAGATGGAACTGTCCATCCTCTAACTAGCTATGTGATTAATTATGTGAAATTTCTATATGAGTAAGTGACCACTTTGCCTCTAGGTTTCCTGAAGCCGGTTTTTGTTTGTTCATAGATTTATGTCTTTATGGATATATGTTCCCTTTTCCTATTCTTTTTTTTCATTAGCTATTTTCTGCTATAGTTTCATGGTCATGACTCATAAAATATGGCAGTCGATCCTATATTATTTACGTCCTTCTATTTCTCTTAGTTTTTAGTCGTCATATAATTTGGAAAATGTTCACTTCCTGAAGACAGTGTTTGTTCTGTTTAGGGGTTTTTAACTCCTAGCATATTGCATTTAAAATTTGGATGTGCTATCTCATTCATTCCAACAATGGTAGCCTTTGCCCTTCATATATTCCCTCGTGAATTTGTTGATTGAGAGTACTTGTAAATTATTAGCTCATGTTTCCTGTTTAACATACATTGTCTTTTCCAGTTCTGCTTGTATTTGAGTTTTAACTTGTGTTTTCTCTTCCCTGTGGGCACTGAATGTGCACAGTTATCAATCGACTTTGAAACAACTTTTTCAAGAATTTGATGCTGGTGATCCAGAAGAGCAGTTAGCATCTGTCACAACAAGAATTATGCAGGCACTTCAAAATAATTTAGATGGAAAATCAAAGCAGTATAAGGATCCCGCATTGACCCAGTTGTTTCTTATGAACAATATCCACTACATAGTGAGATCTGTGAGAAGGTTTGTTGCACATTTTCAATAGTTTTTACCCGGCATAAAATTTGAAAGGTGAAATTTCTATCTGGATCCGTGACCATTCTGAATACTTGCAGGTCAGATGCAAAAGAAATGTTGGGGGATGACTGGGTGCAAATACACAGAAGAATTGTGCAGCAGCATGCAAATCAGTATAAAAGAATCTCTTGGGCAAAGGTCCATTTATTCAAATTTATGAATCTTTGTGCCGGAGTATCTCTTCTATTTTCTGATCACACTCTCTCTCTCTCTCTCTATCTTTATCTCTATCTATCTATCCATATAATTATATTATGAGCATAAATTACATAATTGACATCTTGGTTAATATCTAGATATATAGCTTCATCATACTTCTCCTCTAATTTTTTTCTTTAATTTTGAAATTGTCATACATTTGTTCCACCGAAGGAATCAAAATGTTAGTTTTTTTTTTAAATACTTTTTGTCATATAATGCATTATTGTCAAATGATGCTGTTGTTTCTTATATAAAATGCTGATGGCTCGTTGTTTTTGAGTTGTATTGCAATATGTTTGTTGATTCTGCCTGATGTCTCGTTGGCTCATGATTCTTAATCAAGCTGTTTTATGTATTTACTGGTTTTAGGATTGCAGTCCTTATCCCTTAAATGGGCGTCATTATGATGATAATTAGAATAATGTTGACTTTACCTGAGGTTGGTTGACGAAGGTTGACATAGTCAGTAACTGCGGATTTATGATCCTGCAGATATTGCAGTGCCTCACTGTCCAAGGAGCTAATTCATCAGGTGGTGGAGATAGCAATAGTGGAGTTTCCAGAGCTTCGATTAAAGATAGGTTCAAGACTTTTAATGTTCAATTTGACGAGCTTCATCAAAGACAATCTCAATGGACAGTTCCTGACAGCGAGTTGCGTGAATCCCTAAGGTTGGCTGTTGCTGAAGTACTTTTGCCTGCCTATAGATCTTTCATTAAACGTTTTGGGTACGTTTTTTTGAGGACGTCTTTTGTTTCCAGTTTTTTTACTCGTCTAAGATACGCCCCGTTTCATGATAATGTATTTTAAACTTTCAGGCCTATGATAGAGAATGGCAAAAATCCCCAGAAGTACATTAAATACTCTCCGGAGAATCTCGAGCAAATGCTGGGCGAATTTTTCGAAAGCAAGACGTGGAATGAACAGAAGCGGTGAATTATAGCATACTTGATTTTAACATTCTAGGCACTTCGGCGCTTACCACGATTGATCAATAATAACAAAAGCGGTAAATTGTAGCATACTTCATTTCTCACACTTTTAGGCACTTGGTTTGCTACGTTTGATCAATAATAACGTAATCACTAATCAGTATGTTCTCCAATCGTATTCAAGTGCTCCTTTCTTCGTTCCCCTCACACTGGCCATGGCAACGTCAATCTTTTTATGACCATGAAATGTTCTTGTAAAAAATTACTCATATGGCCTAGATTAACAAATTAAACATAAATAGGCTCCAAAAATTGTTATTTATAAATTGAATTGCATCATTTACAAGTCAAATTTGTAAAAAGATAAATTTCCTATAACTTGTAGTATTTTTTTAAGGGTAATTCTCCCATATTTCAACGTCTTGAAAAGAATCATAATCATTATACAATTCATGCTAAGACATCATTGGTATTAACGCCTAACACAGGAAATAAAGGGGAAAAAACAGGGGATGACCTAACTTCTACCCAATTTTTTTCCCAAAAAAAAAAAAGAGGGAAAAGAAGAAATAACAAATAATAGCGACATATGAATGAACGTAGAGGATCAAATATCGGTCAACTCTTACACAGGTATTGCAACAATTGCTGTTTGCATGTCTAAAAGAAGACAAATCAGAGGGCGCGGTAGCCGTGGAGCTTGCCCGTCCAGGCCCAACTCTTCTCTTTCTTGTCAAAAAGAGAGAGAGATAATCTGCTAATACCCGAATATCCTTTAACACGGACCAGCCACAAAGGCTCACGCAATTAGTTTCAATGAATGTTATTTATCATACCATCGCCCAAAAAACTTCAAACTTGGCAATTGTACACATTTGCATGCTAAACAGGGTATGGTTCCTCATCGTGCAGTCTTCTTTCCTCGTCTGATTCCATATATTCTTTCCCAAAACAAACCCGTTCATTCAGAATATGCTAAACTAGTTTGGCATTCTATCTTGAACAACTTCATTTCCTCCGAGTAGGGGAAAGATCCAAAGGCGAAGCAACTCTTTAAATAGAATAAGATAGGATGCAAGTCTCGTGAACCGCTCCAATACGGTAGAATTGGTTGTGATTAAAACTGGATATTCCCTGTAGAAGATGCAACTCTGACTTGAGTAGACTCGACCTCCCCTTACTGGTTGGAATGCGCATATATGGGAAGCCGGAGGCGGCCAATGCGGTGATTTTGATATCGTGAGATCAAAAGGTATAGACAACTAATTTTTCAATTTCATTTTAAATATCTGTTGAAGTAATTCGAAATCATCAGAGTTTAATTGTTACCTTTCGGGGAGAAAAAGGATTGATCTGACACCGTGTCGAACCTGGCTGTTTGGCTATTGACGAATAACTAAAAATAAGTAAGGAGGAACAGAACAGGGCACCAATCACAAGCAACGGAAAATCAGTTCGAAGACATCACAATGACTGATATTAGCTGTAGCTGATTCAACTCCTTACCTTACCCATGCGACTAACTGAAGTGGTTATCGACAACTATGTCCTAAACAAATTCGATTTTCTATTTAATCCTGTTTCCCACATCAAAATCAATCACCCCACAGTAAGTAACCAGAGTCGAACAATTTCATTCCAATCTCTGATAACAACCACTGCTTTAAACCATACGATCAATCACAACAATAACAAGATCAAATGGGTTCGACGGCTGAGTTCACGCCTCTGCCTCAAGACATTGAGAAAGGAAACATCCAACTTCAAACGCAGCGACATTCCCGTTGCTGGGAGACGGCACTTCGATTGGCCTTGATGGCATTGTTCATGCTTGGCGTTGCCCACCGCCTCGGGCAATTAAAGACCACGCAGCCGCCGCCTCCCCCCATCCCACCCACGTTCTCCCTCAACTCGCTCTCTGTTCCTCACTTCAGCATCTCCGACGGCGAGTTATCCGCCTCTTGGGATGCCAACGTGACCGTCTCCGATGCCCTCAACCTCACCATCCAACGCCTGGACGCCTCCATTTGGTACGAGGACGATGAAGCACTCGCGCGGATCGGTCCCCTGAATCCCCAATATTTGGGCCGAGTGCCGGAGCAGGAGAAGAGGGTGAATTTGAAATTTAAGACGACGGGGTGGGAGAAGGATCAGCCTATTGTAGACGATAAGGTGGTTGCAACGATGGCGGAAAATAGGCAGAGGGGAGTGATCAGGTTTAGTTTGAAGATGAAGGTGAAGGGGGAGCTTAGCAGCGGTGAGTGGGCCTTGGGTTTCACCACGTACCCAACCTGCCCCGATTTGGAAGTTCAGTTTCCTTCGCCGGAAATGGGGGGCGCAGCCATGTTGACCCGAGGCAAAGCCACCTCTTGCTCCGGTTTGACTGAATGGGGTCATGTCCAGAGCTTGTTGTAGATAAACAATCAAAATCGTGCGTCTAGCTGTACGTGTTTGTCTCAGGAATGCATTTTTTGGAATTCATTTTATGAATAGACTCATCTTTCAGAAAATTGAAGTTGAAATAAAGGAATGCTTGGATTTGAAATGCATGGCTAGCTAATTGCTTGGCCAGCAACCCTTTTGCAATGAACCGGACTGCTTGCATGGACTCTGCGTCTCTACCTGCATTCATTGGATTATCAGTGACTATAAAATTCCCAAATGAATTAACAGGAAAAATTGAATTATTTCCGGTTGTGTTTGACCTTTGGCTGCCATAATTAATCACATAAAATCCAAATAATTTGTTAGCAGGGCTCTGGCAACGACGTGCTTAAGCTTTCTTGCATTTCTTGCGATGGGCTTCTCCTTTTTGCTTTGCACGAAACCAGAAGGCTATTTGCGTCCTTTTCCACCCTTCCAATTTATTTTCAAAAACGCGGCCAATACTTTCATACTTTCATTGCGCGTTAGTGGGCCGAAAGTGATGTAAAGTGTCAGTAACTCTTGATCTGTATAGTATACACATGGGCTGGGTGAGAATTGAGATGAGATCTCATTATTCACCCAGTAAGAATTATTCAATTTTCTTATTCCCCTTTATCCAATAAACAGAAAAAGTAAAACGTTGTGCGACGGGGAAAAGCAAATGAACGACAACGGATGAGAAGCAGGGCAATTAGGGTGTCCTTGAAAACAAACTTGAAATGAGAGTGTAACGATAATAACAAGTTAGTCTGGGCATCATAATCAAATCACGGTTCAAACACGAAGGGTGGTAGAGCCTCATAGGCGATGGTCCTAAGGTTAGGTTTGGTTGGTAGGACAGTGCCTTCATCCTCATTAGTGCTCGCTTTCATTATTTTCAAATACTTGGTTTGTGCTCGTTGGAAAAGTCGCGTTCCCATCACATCACCAGTACCACCATTATATTTTGATCTCTCCTTCTAATCAATCTCTCTTTAGAGAGAAAAGCAATTCAAGAAAGCAGGGGACAGAAATGGGTGTCTTGATGTGGATGCGCAAAACAGCCTGCCATAATAAAAGTCGTAATCTGTATCCACCACCTGTGTTGGATGGAGATGACAACAGCAAAAGCAAATAATCTATAGATCATACAGATGAAATGAGTATGCTTCAGGCCTAAGTCATCAAATTATATTATTGGGTGCGCCTCCAGCGGTAACAAGGTTGCTTGTTCAGCATGACTGTGTAACTGATAAAATCATTAATTGGCGTGCATGTTTAGACGAAATATAGTAGGACTAATCTCGTGATCTTTTTCTGCTCTCGTGGTCCAATTCTTGTATTTTACCTCTTGTCATCGAAGGCTCATGCGCTTAATTGCTACCCGATGACACCGAGAAAAGCCAGAATCCTAATTTCAGCCTAAACCTCGAGAAGGAAAAAAGAATCTGAAAACCATGGGTGGCGTGGGGCCGGGTCTGGCTGTTGCTAGGGGACGTGACTAGTTAATGGATTAATTTAGACGTGATGACGCGCTTGTGGTTGTTGAATTGGAAGCGTTAATCCGAGGGAGTTGCAGGGGTAAATTAAATTAACTAGAAATCAACGACTGCGAATTTTTGGGGTGGGAACCAGGCCGCGTGGGGACACTTGAAGCCACGCTGCAGCCTTGAGAGTTTGAGGTGGAAACCATCACGTAAGTGCGAAGCTCGAGACAAGAACCTTCCTGAATGTCAGTGCAGCGGCACCTGCGCATGTTCTTTCTCTCCTCTATGACCCCCAGTCAACTGTGGCTCAGGAAAAAGCAATCCACCATAATTTAACACTTGCCACGTACTATTTTTCTTCAAGTAATTAAAGGCCATTATAATCGAGCTTTCTCCTTCAATTTGTCTCGTTTATATACAGGCAGGTTGAGATCCAAGTCATTGTCAGTTTGCCATCGTATCCTATTAAAAATAAGTGGCAGGGGAAAAGACAAGAAAAATATACATTCGACAGAAAGAACCTTGTTTGCCTCCTTTCATCTGTTCGGATCATCGAAATTGAAGTGGGGCTCCTTAGCACCAAAAAAATCTCGTACGTCGAAGCGAATTACTGGTGTCGGCCGACGATTATTGAATGTTATCAGAATGCCTTAAAGTAAAATTCTATGGGCAGGTGGCCGCCGATAATATTAAAAAGTATAGTTCACGGTAGATAGGCCTACCCACGAGGCCTTCATTTCTTTCTCTTCGTTGAATCCCACGTACTGAACCTCCCAACTTGTTACCAATATTCAGACTCATGCCCATCGATATCGTATTCATTAATTCACGACGCATAATTGACTTTATTTGATATTTTAAAGACCGAACTCTCACTTTTCTTAATAGTTCAAAGGTTGGGCAACTACGTGTTCCCAGAAGTGATGTGCATAGTTGACTAACAGGGGAGAGTAGGGATTGTTCGCACAGAATATATTACGAATGTTTTGAATGTACATATCCACTGCAGAGCCATTGCTTTCTAATTAGTTGGACTAAATAAGAAATTAATGGAGATATATGAGGATTAGGTGGCGCTTGCGTAGATAGATGTTGAGGTGGTAACGGATGAATTCAGAGGAGACGCAAGGGAGGGTGTTGGTGGGGGGTCAGCCCATGAAACCTTATATGTGTGCAATTAATTAAGAGGCTGATAAGGACGTAGGGTTCCAATGCGTAACCCACATGGTTTCATTATCTCAGTTTGTCGGTGCAATTAATCAATCGGGACTTGCATTGCGGTTTATAGCTTCTTCTCATTGCAAATAAGTTAAGAACGGGGTAGCTCAACTATTGAACAAACAATGGGAAATAAAATTAAAAAGAAAAAAAAGGCTTTAGAGATTAAAAAATAAGGCTGCTTAATTAAACCAGGAATTGAAATGCAAGGATTCGAAGTTGGTAGTTGGGTTGTTATTTTCTGAAGTTGGGCGTATGCATTTTTGGACTTTATTCTGTGGTCACTGTGTCGGCATCAGCTATTCTTCCGGGAAGCCCCCAGTGACATGAAGCTCGTCGGTGCAGTACAGAGGACGGCGGCGGAAGCTTCCCGCTCTCCTGCACACGCACTTGTGTATCACTCATAAGGTAATACTACGTGGGTCCGTCTCCTCACATTTTATCTTTAAAGCTCTTAATTCATTGCTTTTGCAATTTTGTCGCCTTGTAGTTACTTAGCGTCCATCAACTCAACAACAATTTTTAAGGCCTCCTTTTCTTGACTTGGCATCGCTCGCTGACCCGGGTTAAAGCAGGGCGCTTCCATTCAAATCATGCCTCCTCCGCTCCTCTTCTATTTTAGCATTATTTGACCCATCCCATCTCTTCTTGGTCTGCGCATAGTATACTCTTGGTAGGTGCTTCTATTCACTTCATTAGCTACCCACTTTAAATAAACACATATATACTAATAACTAATTAAGTGCACTATATCTCCACCCACATCAATGTATAACAACATTTTGAAGGACCAAGTAGCGTCACAGTCAAAATCAAAATTAATTACATGTAATTATGCAGTGAGCATCATCTTGAGTTTTGCACGATCGCTTCTGAAACAGACGGACGAACACAAAATGATGATCGCTATTTCTGTTTTGAAAAACAACAGTAGCCTTGTTCTTAAGTATACCTCAATTATTAATTTTTGCTGACATATGCGTGTCTCTATCTGTGTCTCGCGTTGAAATCATGCGCGCGTCCTGTCTGTATAGGATATGTTAACAACTCGACTGTCTGTTATATGTGATTACTGTAAAAAGAAAAAAAAAATACTAGGGATGGATAAGAGCAGTTTTGTGAATATAGAAACAGGGCGTCAAATACGAATTTTTTCACAAAAGCGAGTGTATTAATCATTAATGATAATAAAGTATGGACGGTTCGCATGATTAGTTCGCAGTAAGAACCGTGTGCTCACACTCTCGTACAATTCATATGAATATTATAATATTAAACTTATGTCCCGTTATATCTCATCATGTGCCCTGTCAATGCACGGATTGATTCCTTTATATAAACACCAAAAAACACTCAAATCCTTACACGACACCCCGCCCCCCTCCTTCCGTAGTGGATCTCCTAGCTGGTTCTCTGTCTCTCTGCATCCTTCACTGCTCTGTTCCTCACTTCCCCTGATAAACAACTCCTCCAGCTCCTTCGGCCACCGGGATACATACGATCGATGTCGGTGAAAGAGTGTGACCACCACAGCTGTCGCCGGAAAATATTCCGAAGAATCTTTGTGGGGATCCTTATTTTCCTGCTTATAGTTCTGCTGACAATTCTAATAATCTGGGCAGTCCTGAAGCCTTCCAAACCAACGTTCGTCCTCCAGGACGTCACCGTGTACGCCTTCAATGCCAGCGAGCCCAACTTCTTGACCACAAGTTTCCAAGTGACCCTCTTGTCCCGCAACCCCAACGGAAGGATCGGAGTCTACTACGATCGTCTCGACACCTACGTCGACTATCGCAACCAGGAGGTCACGTATCGCACGGCCATCCCTCCCTCGTATCAGGGACACAAAGAGGTCGACGTCTGGTCACCCTTCGTCTACGGAAACAACGTGCCCGTCGCTCCTTACAACTTCGTCGGACTGAGTCAGGACGAGTCCAACGGCAACGTTTTGGTGACCATCAAGATCGATGGACGGGTCAGATGGAAAGTCGGCGCTTTCATTTCCGGCCGGTACCATATCTACGTCAGGTGCCCCGCTTACATCAGCTGGAGATCACGGGGCTATGAGTCTGTCGGGGGCGGTAACGCCGTTAAGTATCAATTAGTCCAGAAATGCTCTGTCAGCGTCTGAACTCGGACAGTCACTACTCTCCTTCCCCATGTATTTACAATAACATCCTTTTATTTTCTTGTCCTATTTTTGCACACCCGTTATCTCCGCATACCCGTGTTGGATCTCTAATAACTAAGGTCGTTGAAAGGGTTAAAAGTTCGCAATGTGACGTTCTGGGGAGACACAGTACGGCATAATTACAATCCAGTGACGAACCGATTGTTGTAAAAACATTGAAAATGAATATAATGATTGGTTTGGATTGGCCAGTAAGACAAGCATCTGGTGTCACTCGTTCTTGTGCTGTTTAGATCGTCCCATTCGGTTAATAAGATTTTTTTAAGCATATGCGCCTTGTGTTTTTGTTGCAGAAATGAGAGTGATGGATAATATTGGGTGCACGATGTGAAGTAATTTTTATGAATAAAACGTGGTGGGAGGGGTGAAGTAGAGGCGTACATATATGCAGGGGCAAAGCAGGGGCGGCGACCCTTTATGTTAGGTAAAACCGTAAAATAGAATAGCAGGATCACTATAACTAACTCCATTGAGTTCGCCACTATAGAACTCAACAGTTACACTTACTTGATTCCGCCTGGACAGCTAAACTTAATTTTTTATTAATCATCTAAATAATTTTTAATTTTTTTAACTGATTTTTTATAAACATCTATCTAAATATTAATTATATTATATTAACTGATTTTTATTTTTATTTTAATTATAAAAATCAGTTTTGCTGAATACCAATCTAAAAATACTAGTGGCGATTCTTTTTCTAGCCTAGCTACCGAAGGAGAGTGTAATTATTAGTTCAGATTAATAATGGTGATAAAGGAAAGGGGATGAAGTTGGACTTTATCTTTGATGAACCGTCAAGTCAAAGATGCGATGAATGATGTTGCGACACGTGTGCTGATCAAGATGGGGTTGAAAAAAGAAGGGAAAGGCCACTTTATCTGCGGAAGACCCCCGTGTGGTCATATTTCCGCCTGAATGAGTAATGACCACACTCTCCCGTCCTTTAATTTAACGAACTCTGCCCCGTCGTTTTGCGCATTTCTCAATTAGCTGCCTGCCCACATTCACCCGTTTGTTTGTCCACCCACCCAATATGTAATCCAACGTAATAAACGTGATACCGTTGGCCAAAGGAAATACACACACACAAATGTAACATTATCCCATCTCTACTTATCCTACATGCACACAGTACAGTAACTAAAAGTACCTTTTCAAATGGCCTGCGTTCCCAACTTCACATGCCAAATCAGTGTTCTTCGATTGAGCCGCCTCCCCCGTCGAGCGAATCGCCTTTCAAATCGTTTGACGCTCCCACGCCCCCTTTATGCTATCACTGGGAATGGGACGGGTCATCCTAATAGAGCTAAAACCAATCCGCCATCCTACGTACTCCGATTTGTTCTGATCTCACTTAAATTGCATTTCCCCATGCACAACAGAGATAATAGCTGATTTCATGAGAAGATTAATACCAATTCAAAACTCATCACCATTTAAGTTCTTTCTTTTTTAAAGTACTGGAATTTTTTTAAAAAGTCTGATTTATTATTGGTATTTTTATGTGAACACTTAGCTGTCATTCTCTCTGGACGAAAATCCGGATATATATACACATACATATTTTTAATGTAATACTTTGCTGCGTCTAGTTTGAATTTGAATTATTACTCCTCCGGTCCTAAATATAAGACCCTTATACTAGTCTGTATAAGGGTCTTACATTTAGTTCGAAGGAGAGTATATTATATATTTCAATAAAAATGAGCGAGGATGCTACAAACCATAAAGTTCCGAGATAAAAACCAATGCGTTTACCACTTTAGCTTTTCTCCGTCTTGTCCTCACCGTCACCGCGAGCTAAAAAAGAAAAAAGAAAAGAACAGATAAATTTAGCCCAAAGAAAATAACGATACTGTGGGGAATGGGCTTACCCACTGTTTCGCAGGCCCCGTTGGAACGGATTGTCCCAATCGCAATAAGCCCAAGCACATACCTGGAAAAGATTAGCACACTCACTTTTTGAGAAAAACACTGGTCGTGCTCACCCTCGTGTGAAACTTCAAATCCCTCTCTGCATGAATATACGTCAGCGGGTTCCTTGAATTTTCTTGTATGCGTAATTGAATTGGACAAAGCATAATTGTATTTAATACGGCAGTCAATTTAAACCATTCTCCCGCCCCTCGATTCGGCCCCAGTCCCATTACGCGACCCGCAACCGCGTTAACTCGTCTGCTTTTGAATCTTCAACACATACTCCTTACTGCTCGTGTATATACACCCACCCAACCTCGTGTCCTCCTCCTCACAAACAAAGCCACCCCACATCCCATTACTTTCCACCTTCTTTGCGTATACCCCCATTCGCTTTTGTTATAACATGGCTGATAAGCAGCCCCATCTGAACGGCGCCTACTACGGTCCCTCCGTTCCTCCCCCACCAACCCCACCCCCGCTATCGTCGTGGCAGAAGCTGCTGCTGCTGCCTTTTGGTTTTCTTCTGGAAGCTCCTCCTCGCCCTCATCGTCATCGTCGGCCTCGCCATCCTCATCTTCTGGCTCATCGTCCAGCCACGCGCCTTCAAGTTCTACGTTTCCGACGCCAAGCTCACCCGATTCGACTACGCCGGCAATACCCTCCGTTATGACCTTGTCCTCAACTTCACCGCTCGTAACCCTAACAAAAAGCTCAGCGTTTACTACGACCGAGTCGAAGGCAGGGCATTCTACGAGGACCAGAGGTTCGCCGCCGTCGACGTTATCACCCACATGAACTCTTTCCGACAGTACAGTACACCAAGAGCTCCGACCCCATGAGCGCCCACTTCTCAGGGCAGCATTTGATGACGCTTGATTCCGATGACCTGGCTCAGTACAATGAAGAGAAGACAAACGGAGCTTTTAACATAGATGTGAAGCTGTACTTCAGAATAAGGTTCAGGCTGGGGGATGTCATATCCAGCGACTACCATCCCAAAGTGAAATGTGAACTCAAGGTCCCCCTCAGTTCTAACACCACTACTGCCGCTGGGTTTGAATCTACTAAATGCGACGTCGATTTCTAAGTTTTGCGTTCCCCTCCTGCACGCACCCTCATATCTTCTCCTTCACCTGTACCATTTTATTATATTAATCCTTTGGCGGTTTGGCCATATGTTCGTATGTACATGCATGATTATGTGGTATGTATACATTTTATTCTTTTACTTTTATTGTTTATTCAAAAGTAGGCTGCATTTTTATATGTTGCCTGGTCATTTTGGACTTGGCCACCAAATAATATAAGATGATATTGTTTGTTTGCTTTTTTGTTTAAATTTCGCTCCGTTTCGATGGATATAGTGATTTAACATACACACACAGACATAAACATACCATTTTTCGAGAAATAGAAGATGAAGGGGTGACAAAAACTTCTGCCGTTAAATGCATGCCTCATACCTGGGTTCGTGTGGATACCAAAAGTTTTTTTGCTTTGGATAAAATACACTTAATTTGGCTTTCAAAAATACTCTTTAGAAACGTCAAGAGTTTCAATATTATCAATTAAAATGAAACATTTTCAATAAAAAAAATCACACAATGATAATTGTTGTTAATTAATCTTGAAAATATTAACTTTGACACAATATATATTACGACTGTTTATGATGAAAAAAGTGTACTATAATACATGCGTACATTTTCCTCCTTGATAAATGGGGGCTAAAACAGCGATCCAATCTGCAAGGTTATGGAAATAGGAACGCGCACCTTTATGGTTCCATCTTTCATGCCATGGCCCGTTCGGTTGCCAGATTGAATCCGAAAGTGCCACATCGGAACTGACATTAAATATTTAATTTAATAACACCTATCCCATATATAACGGCCAGGACACAACCTGAATGTTAATTCCAGCGACTGCGACTTCAATTGGTCAACGCCTCCTCGGTCATGGTACTCTGGTAAGAATTTAGAATTAAGAACACGCCTCGACACCGGACAATTTTCTGTCAAATCAGTTTATAATCTCCTTTCTCACGCTGATACGGACACTGGTGTATCGTGGGATAAGATCTGGAAGGTGAGAGAGCCGCAAAGGTTTAGAGCTTTGATGTGGCTCGCCGTTCGAAAAAGCCTCTTAACTAATGCCACAGGACGCAGAAGAGGATTGAGTGATGACAACTGCTGTCTTATATGCAAACGAGAAATTGAAGATGCAATTCATGTGTTTCGTTTGATTGCTGTGAAATTAAGGAGTGTTTGTAGGCTAGAAGAGTATTTCTTAGAAGTATTTTTTTACAAATCAAGACAGACTCTTTCACATATTTATTTTATAGACCATATAAGTACTTCAAAAACTATGGTTTTATCCTTACCCAAACACTCCCTAGACATCTTTGGAGGAAGCTTGTCCTGCCTAATGCCTGGCGAAGATTTTGCTCTTTGGATTTTGATGAATGGCTTTGGTGGAATATCAATGCTAAAAATCTGAATGGCGAAGAGTGGAAAGCTTTGTTTGCGATGATCTGTTGGTGGCTGCGGAGGAGATGTCGGAACTTTTTCATATTTGAAGGCAAGCACGTGAATAATGAAGCCATTATGGCTAATGCTCGTGCAATGGTGGCAGATATTAGTGAGATTCAACGACATCTTATAGGTGTTCCTATACATGGCGCTTGTCTTCTCAAAGGTACTGATAAATGGCAACCACCAGATGAGGGATGGATTAAAGTAACTGTTGACGGTGCTTTCTCTTCGTTTCATCATACAAGTGCTTGTGGAGGAGTGCTCAGAAATTCCACTGGAGACTTTCTGGGAGGTTTCATTCACAGACTCAACGAAGGTGATGCTCTGACCACCGAAATATGGGCATATCTGCACGGACTTAAAATCGCTTGGGACGCTGGGTATCGCAGAATAATTTTAGAATCTAATGCAAAATGCCATAGAGCTAATTAATATGGAACCTGGTGAGAGTCATGCGGACTAGAATATTCTTAAAGAAGTTCAGGCTCTTACTGGTAGAGACTCGGAAGTAAGGATTGGGTATGTGAACCGAGAATGCAACATAGCTGCAGATCATCTGGCAAAGAAAGGACTTGATGCTATGAATGGTTTCCATATAATTGTCCACGCTTCTTCAGAGTTGTCAGTTTTATTACTCATCACATTGATAAGTATCCCATAAACTTATCATATCTGGACTATCTATATCTGATTTGAACAGTTCAAATTTAAAATTTTTAATTAATTATTTTTAAATAGAAAAAACTATTTTTAAGATATTATCTCTATTTTGAATTCTTCTATATATATTAAAATAATTATTTTAAATAAAAAATAAATCTGAACCATCCAGATAAAATATGGACGATCGAAATTTCATGATTTTAGAATGCTCATCCGAATTCGGATCACACCAGTGTTTTAGGCGATCATGTAGTATTTTGATGAGGTTTCCTTGTTATTTTAAAAAAAAAAAGAGAAGAACACCCCTTGACCGTGCTGAGACTAGTTTTGCCATTAATCGTATTGATTGCTCTGATAATGAAAAAAAATGCTCAATTGACAGACACGGTGATTTTTTTTTAAACCTGGTTTAAGTACATGGTTTAATTTTAAACAGAGAAGTCAGTATATTGTTAGTAAGTTGATTACATTAAACTTAATCTTAAAACTAAACACATTTGATTAAAAAAAATGTCAATATCGTTCGATAACAAATCAGATAAAAAAAAATAAAAATGGCCCCAACTATCAAAGCTCCCAAGTTCACCGCTGGATAAAGGTCGTCGCTTTTCAAGTTCTGGGTCAGTTTGGACAACACATCCTGAGTTGATGAAGTAAAACTTCAGCAACTGTCTCTTTCCGTAGAACCTAATAAATTACGAGGCCTCTTCAAACGTTTCCGGGTTCTAATTTCTAACCAATCACAGTTCAATTTTTAAGGAAAATCGCATTGAGGAAACCCCATGATCATACCTTTAGAGGGTGAAAAAGTTGGCTCTACTTGGCAATACAATAGTATGTATATATAACCTATCTTCTGACCACGTTTAATTCTTCCAATCTCCTCAGCTCAACATGCTTGTGCAATATATACCCCGTTTGGCAGAGCGTAGCGGTAGAAATTCCCTATAAACCCATTTTATGTAAGCTGAAATAAAATTTCTTTCATATACTTGCTTCATATTCTGTAAATCATTATTAAAAAGCTACTTATAAGCTGTTCCAAACGGATCCATATATTGCAACAGTGCAAGGCCTGACCCACCCTTTCTTTACAAGACAACTTTAAAAGAAAATTAAAAAAAGCTAAATTATACTCCTCCAGTCCTTAGTATAGGATCTAATTGTTGAGTTAATTTTGATCATAAATATAAGAACCTATTTCTCTTATTTATTAATTTTTTCTAAATTATCCATGTAAATCTCCCTCAATCATAATTAAATAGAAGAAGAAGAAGATAGAATATTAAGGAAGATGATTATGGTATTTTAGGAAAAACATGTCATATTTTTTTATAACTAACTAACTTACCTAACTTCCTTAATCTAATCAAAATTAATTAAATAGGTCTTATATTAAGGACTGAAGGAGTACATATTTATGTTTATATTTTTTTATTGCTAATTTTCTTTATCTCACAAAATACATGCTCTATCGGTGAATAATTAAAAATCAGTACAAAAAATACCAATCATTATCTGCACAAACTTCAAATGATTAGGTGACTTCTTTCCAAATTCAGAAGTGGAAAAAATTATCTATAAATACATTATTAAAGGTTTGTTTAATTGGGAAATTTCGTATGATTAAGGAAAACGTGTTAACCATAGCTGAAAAGAAGAAACTTGCAATCAGGGAATGGAAGAGTTGTGTTATAAAAAGAGGGCAGGAGCGTAGCGTCATGTGTTTGAATAATAAGGTGTGAACTGTGACCAAAAGATATTTAAAGGAATAAAGGGAGTTGTTGGCGACTTGGCTTGATGTGGCCCTGCCGAACCTGAAAATGTTGACAAATGCACGAGCAACCCAACCTTTGGAAGTTTCCATGAAGTTGCACTGCACACACTAAATTCAAAGATGCTATGCTTTTCTTATTTTTCCAGGGCAAGAATGTGAAGTCCCAGCTTCCCAGAAATTAAAACAACCGCGTTTCACCTTTTCCAATCACCCTCAGTCCCTCACGCGCCTCCCAGCCGTAATATCCTTGTTCTCACTGGTACCCGCACGCGCTTTTCCAAAGTCTCCACATCACCCCACATCCCTATATAACACGCACCCTAGCTCCACCTTCCTATATCTTCATTACTCCTTCTTCTGTTTCAATTTATTATTATATTCTTGGATCTCTATCCTCTCCAATGGCCGAGAAAAATCCCCAGTTGAACGGTGCCTACTACGGCCCCTCCATCCCACCACCCAAATCCTACACCGTCCTGGCCGCGGCGGCAGCGGCATCGGCTGTTGCTTTGACTGCTGTTGTGGGTGTATCTTCAGCCTCATCTTTAAACTCCTCTGCACCATCATCGTCATCGTCGGGATCGCCGTCCTTGTGTTCTGGCTCATCGTCCGCCCAAGCAAGGTCAAATTCCACGTCACCGATGCCTCCCTCACCGAGTTCAGTTACACCAACAACGGCACGCTCCACTACAATCTTGCTCTCAACATGACCATCCGCAACCCCAACAGAAGGCTTGGCATTTACTACGACAACATCGAAGCCAGAGCTCTGTACGAGGATGCCAGGTTCGCTTCCAACGACATCTCGCCTTTCTATATGGGCCACAAGACTACTCATTACTTGAGCACGGACTTCAAAGGTCAGCACTTGATTGCCCTGGGTGCCGATCAGATCTCAGAATATAATAAGGACAAGAGCTCCGGGGTCTACGATATCGATGTGAAGTTGTATCTCAAGATTCGGTTCAAGTTGGGCGTGTTCAAGACCGGCAAGTTCAAGCCCAAGATTAATTGTGACCTCAAGGTTCCCTTGACGGCCAACGGAACCTCGTCGTCCGCTACGTTCCAGGCCACCGAGTGCGATTTGGACTACTGATGGAGCGCCCCTTTACCCGGCTCTCCTCCGTGTTTGTCCATACGCGGTTCTAGACTACATTTGTTTTTGCTGTTATTATGGGTTCCTCATATTCGTTCATTTATTGGACATTGTTTCTGGTTATTGATTTCGTTGCCGTATTTCCATATCCATTTCATTTTATAGGAGTATTGTTATTTGATTGGACTCCGAGGATTTTGCTTTTTGTACGCTGTTGTTAATAAATAAAGCAATTATTTTGCTTAGTTCAGCTGGTAATAGTTTGCCCCTCCATATTTGATGAGGATGTAGGTTTAAAATTCAATAACAATGTGATTACTACGTAAAATTCAGTAATTAGTTTCCTTGCACGTCCCAAAATATTAATTATTATACTATATAATTAGAGTCAAGATGGAGGAATAAAAAAAATACTCCTATGGTCAAAGGTTTCTTTGGTTCTATTTTAAATCACTTCATTTATTATAGTGTAGATAGTTATCTTTTTTGAAAGTTGTATATATTAAATGTGGATAAAATTAAAAAATTATTATATTTTAATGGAGAGTTACTACGTTTAAGAATTTTTCTTAGTCTGTGTGAATATGCTATAAGTGCCTTATAAATAGGACCAGAAGAGTATAATTTAATTACTTTTAGAGATCGATAAATTACTTTCCCAGTCCTTAGAGTTTGTATGAGTTTTGAATCAGGTCCTTGAATTTTTTTCCTTTTTATGAGATCCTTAACTTTACTTACTCTGTTAGTTCCATTAGTCCCTCATCTTCAAAATCGTTAAATAGGCAATAACAGTGTGAATATTCCATTAAATTGATCTGAGGTGGCATCTTTTAAGGCTGATATGGAAAACAAATATGTTTATGTTTTTAAAAAAATGACACATTTGCAATTGGAATTAAAAAGATAACAATTATTAAAGAAATAACAAAAACAAAAAACAAAAGGAAACAAAGTAAGAACTTGAACGATCCAAAGAGCAAGCAAAGAAACTATCAGGTAAGAAGAAGAAGCTAATGCACGAATGAGAGAGACAAGGTTGAATAATATGGGGCGAGCAAACGTAGCCCAAAACTACAAAGGAGAAGGTGAAGACTCAAGGCACGGAGAAAGAACGACAAAACAAAGAGCAGTGAGAGGACGCAAGTGTCAACGTCGTGTAGAGAGACATGCCGACCTAGAAACTGTTCCTCCTGGCATCGACTCCGTAACCAGCTTCGAATTCAAAGATGTTTGAAGACAAAGCCATATTCACCAGGATTTTCATTCCCAAAATCATGAACCTGGATAAAAAATTATGGATTCTGTTTAGGATTTATATGACTAATGCTATCAGTTTCCTTTTTAGACGTGGCTAAATTTTCCACCTAGATTTTTGTCAGATTCCACTGTGTTAAAATTTTCCGACTAGATGCCATCTCAAATCGATTTAACGGAATATGTAACACTATTATTGCCTATTTAACAGTTTTAAAGATGAGGGACTAACGAAACTAACAGAGTAAAATTAAAGGACCCCATAAAAGAAAAAAAAATTCAAGGACCTGATTCAAAACTCATACAAACTATAAGGATTGGGAAATTATTTCCCTTTATTTTAATAGAGAGCGGCGTCAGAACAGTTGACTTGAGCAAAATAATGCGAACCAATAGTTCTCGGTCGGCATATGCTATCGTCATGCTCGTAGAGGACTCGTTTGGAATACTTTTCTAATTTTATTTATAAGATAAATTTTTTTATCTTATTTATAAGTTATTTTATTAAATTTTTAGTATAAATATACTATTTTATTTTTTATTTATTATAATATAAATAGTTTTTTTTGAAAGGTATATATATTAAATAGAAATAAAATTAGAAAGTTGTTATATTTTAAAAAAGTGTTAATACATTTTAAGATTTTTTTTAATCTGTGTGAAATATATTGAAAATATCCTATAAATAAGATTAGAAGAATAACTAATAAGTAGTTTTTTAATTATGATTTGCAAAATGTGAGATAAGTATGTGGAAAGAGTTTTGTCTCGGTTTATTTAAAATGTGCTTATAAGTGATTTTGAATGTCATCCCAAACAAGCCCTAATATGTGATTGTCATGAATATTTTCTAATAAGTACTACTCTGTCCTTTATTATAAGATTTTTTTTTAACTAAATTATGCAGTTTAAAAAAACAATCAAAATTAGTTAAAAGCAATTAATATGTAATAAACATAATTTTTTTCCTAAACATACCCTTATATATAAATGGGTAAATGTGATAGAGTGATATGATAGTAAGGTAAATGAAGAAAGAAAATATATTTAATGCATTAAATTAGGGGTACAATAAGTAATAATACATTAAATGTTCAGACAAACTCAGGGAGAATTTTATAAAAAGAGACAGACCCATTCAAAAAATTAGATCTTATAATAAGGGACGGATGGAATATTGTTATGATAGTTTTTAATTAGGAGCAAACTAGGAAAAAAGTCATCAATAATATTCCTGTTGGCCTCTTATTATAAGGATCAAAGTTTTTTTTTTTTTTTAAGATCATCCTTAGGGAGCATAACATTATAATTAACTAGTGATTTCTATCGGCAAAAACTCAAGGATTTGCGCTTAATATACGCTTTTGGGTCACACCATGAACTTCTGAGCTAAATCAGTTAATTAGTTTATCTGCCAGCCCCTCTGTTTGGCGCTGTACATAACATAAGATTAAAACGATATTATATAATTTGAAAAGTTCATTCTTTTGTTTAATGTATGAACATGCAAAAGCTAAGATTTAATTATGTAAATAGACGAGGATAATTTACTTTGTATACGAGGCTTATGCATAAGGCATATTCTAATCGTTTGTTGTGAATGGCACGCTATGACTTTTGATACAAGTGTGAATATAGAATAAAGACAGAGCATATAAAATTTTTACGCAATTCAACGCAAGCCGCACAGTTGTATAAATGTATGACTTTATAACCTATACCCATAAATTTAAGTTTCGAGGTCCTGTTTGGTACGCAAACAGCAGAGACGATAATTCCCCATGATATACAGCACTGTTTGCACCATCAACTTCTCATCTTGTTCATATATTCATAATCCGCGCCAGGAGAAAAAATGTCATAACATCCTCGTTGCCAAAATCCCCGAAGATCTTCACAGGGAAAGGGGGATGATGACATGACAACAAGCATCTTCAGTTATAATAATTAAGACTGTATCATGTCTCTAATATGGCAAAATGTTCGGGGCTGGAAAAATTGATTCTAATACGAGAAGAGGGGGTTCTCGGATTAAATTCTAACTTTGCAAGAATTAGAAGCTTTTGTGAGAGTTTCATTTCTCTCTGCTCAGAGTCATTGTTGAGTGCGTGAAAACGTTCTTCGGTGACCCTAACAGTTGCAGGGCGACGGTGTGCACTGTTGGTGTGAGTCGGAGAGATTTGGAGGAAGAGATTATGGTGGGGACGGGACATGCAAAATGAAAAACTATCGATGTCCCGGTGAAGACAAAAAGGCAATGTTCAATAACCAGGTTTATGAATCATCAAGTGCGACTATGATCCCTGTAAGACCATTTACATGATAATATTGTCTCTGATTCGGTAAAATTTTTCATTGATTCTGCTCAACGTGGTATATATGATAAATTTTTGTTGCGTTAATATAATTTTTAATCCCTCAAATTTCCTCTCATTTTAGTTTTGATCCCTTAAATTTCAAATCATAAGTTTTAGTTCTTTAAAAGACAAAATTATTTAATTTTTTATTAGATTATAAGAATTAATATTTTTAATGAAAAGAAACTTGAGGAACCAAAACTTATGATTTGAAGTTTGAGGGATCAAAACCAGAATAATAAAAGCAAATCTAAAAAACCAAAGTTTGTATTAACCCATTTTTTTTAAAGTAGAATCAATGATCTGGCATTAAAAAGAAAAGCGGATGGCTTGGGTTATAAGTGACTTGTTGATAGTGGAATAATTGTTGCTTTGAATAATGCTAACAATTCAATAGAATGGTGCTATGGCTAGAATAGGTGGCTGTTTGGAATTGGAACCAGTGGGCATTTGTGCCAAGCGCACTTGACTGTAGCATTTATTCTGGTTTAGTTTCATTCTCATCACAGAATATGCCCGACATTTCTACGGGTCAAGTTGCATTTCACAACCAGCTGGCGCAACTTAGCAGCATCTCGCATACTGCATATGAGATATTGGGAACTGCCTTATTGAGATATGACTCGTGAAAGATTTTCTTTTCTGGTTGCAAAAAAATTGGCTCCGTCATGAATCTTGAGTTTTTAGATTTTTTTTTTGTCTCATGCAGATGATAAATTAATTGTTTAGGAGTCAAAGAGGCATGCACGGGAGGATTAATCCCCAGAAGCTCAGGCAGTCAGAGAAGCTCTTGATCCTTGGAAACATCTTGATGCTGAAAAATCCAAATCAAACAGTTTTTCATGAAGATGTAGCCGCAAGAATGCAGGAGAAGAAAAACGAGAGCAGAAAAGCAAAGCATCTGCGGAGTAAACTAATAGCATCAGAACTAGCAATTATGTTATAACCATGGTACTGCACTGGCTAGTGCCTGGCTCGTTGATTGTGGGAAGCTTTTGGGTGAATCACATGCCTTCCAACCATTAAGTTTCTTCAAATTCACAGAAAAACGTTTCTCATCTTATAATTGTTTGAACTGTGGAAGGAACCCTTCAAGACCCCTAGAAATTCCTTCTTATCCACAATATTCCATCAGTCTCGAGAACTAAAATTCATTTAACGGGCCTAACATCCCCCTAGCTACATCTTATTCCTTTCAATTTAAAAGGAAAACTTCAACCAGGGCACTACTTGCAGAATTTTTAATACCGAGAAAAAATCAAGGCCAGTAATTTCATCGCGAAACAATCCAACCTCACTCTCTAGACCTATGCAATTTTCTGCGAACAAAATCCTATGCCATTTTGGCTGGTCTCACTAGGACGTGAGTTCGCCTTTGTTCTTAGTCTCAGACAGTCGGCACGCATTCGTTCTGGTTATCCGATAGATTTTCTTTTACTCAATGACATCTAGTCATTTCGTTTTTACTCATGTGTCCTAGAGAACCCGCGTCACGTACCCCAGGACCAAAAAACTCTTCAATAAAAATTTTATAAGCAATTGTTTATTAATTAATTCATTAAACTTTTATAAGGTGGAAAAGATGCAAAAAGAAGACGTGGTCTAAAGGGCAAAAGTAAATTCAACAGGAAAACGCTTGAGATTTTATTACTTTTTAATCTGTTTCTTGGGTAATTATAATTAATCTGATAGACAATATTTTGATTAAATAAGTGGTGGATTAGTCCATTGAAGAGAGCTTATTGACATTTATCACATAAACTAAATAAATATCTGATGTGTAACTTGAAATCTCATAAAAATAAATCATAATATATTAGATAATTATACATCATTAATCCAGGCAAAAAACATACACAGTTGCATTGAGTGAACACAAAAGGCAATAAGACTATGAGCGCAAACTAAAGTAAAATCTATAATGGTAATTAATATCGATTTGCAAACGTGATCCATAATATGCTCACTGCTGTGAAATTTTTTTTAACCCTCTATATAAGTCATTTAGAGACTGATTAATGATTATTTGTCAATTTTACCTTAATATTAAAATGTGACTTCTTATATTTTGTTCCTTATTGATAATCTCACTTAATATGGTAAAGTTGAAAAAAAAATTCAATTCAAAAAAGCTGCTTTTTTTGTGGTGCAAACCAAATTAAGACAGATTTAACGAATTAACTACTATTACTTGACTTTAATAAAGTAGTCAAATTAATTTATATTGTATACGGGATATATTTTCATCAATTAAGCAAATGACTGGATTTGATCTATAACTCTTTGAGGCAATCCTGGTTAGGATACATGGGGAAAATGTTATTCTATGTGGTCGGTATGAATATCCATTGTTCCCCACAGGATAATGTTGAACTTCAAAAATTTAGAATTTAAAGACATTTAGATTACCATTTTTCTTATTTAATCTGGTAATGGCTATAGTAGGGCAGGCGCCAGATGAAAAGGCGGGCAAGGCACGAGTGATTGTTGGTAAATAATAATAATTGGGTGTAATATGGTTATTTAAAAAGGCACGGACGATTAATAGGATTCGTAATTATAGGATTTAAGTATGCATTAATGGCGCAATGACGTATACGAAAAGAATTAAAACAATTTCAAATCATATCATATTAAAAACAATAAATCATATGCGCCTAACGCACAAACTAATCGTTCACCGCGTAACAAGGGAATCTAAAAGCTAATCACATGTGAGAAGTAAAAGAACAGGGATAAAAACCAGAGGAAGGGCATTATAAAAAAAAACCGGAGGAAGGGACAATTTTTTCATTACCAGGAAAACTGGGCCTAAGTAATGCTCTTTATTCGGCCTTGTACATGCATGGTGCCTTTCATTCATGAGAAGCCCGAGAGAAATGGGCCCCTCGCCATATTCCAACTATTTGGTTTAGTTTGTTAACAAAATGCAAAATTTCGTTTAGTTTTCAGTGGTTCTCACGCCCTCCTTAATTCTAGGGACAAAAAAAAAACTATTTTTTGAGATTCAGATTCATTACACGAATACGGAATCAAAGGAAAATATGGGGAAAGATGTGAAGAAATTTCAAAGGGATTCAGTGTACTATGCTTCACGGAAAAAGGAAAACACTAATTCTAGTTCTAGGTTCTAACTTCTAACAGGGCTTTACTCCAAAAAAAAAAAAAATCGAAAAGAGGCGAGTTGTCCAGTGCTGGCCTGAAGGGAAAAATAAATACATAACAAAAAGAAAACTTGTCCGGCAGAAGATGCTGTGATCGTCTTGTGAGATTAACCAGAGGGAACAAAATGGAAGCAAACGGCAAAGTTTTTGGGGCGACGGACCCGGCGGACTCTTTCACATCCATAACTTGCTGGTCGGTAACCTCCTAAGGATCTAACTTAAAACTCGATCCACCTGGGCATCTTCTTTCATAAAGCCTTGCTCGCTTTTTGAAAGAGGCTCTTGTTTTGCAGTCGGGGAGTGTATCATCAGGCATCCGTTACTATTTCCCGGCTCTCGAACCGGCGAAGATGACGGAGTAAAGTAAGGAGGTGAAGCGCAAGGCGTCGAAAACGGTGTCGTCTCTATGATCACTTCCACTTCTTCCACGCTTTCATCTCCGCCACCAGACTCAGCAGCAGCAGCGTAAAACACCCTTTTCGTCTTGAGGACGCTTTCCGCCGAGGAAAAGTTCTCGGAGTCCAGCCCCTCTCTGTCCTCCTCCTTGATGGTGAACAGAACCCTGGAGGGGCCGTGCAGACACTGCCACTTGATCACCTGTTCAGCTAGCTCCGGCGGAGAAGAAGACGAAGTGGTAGGGGATGTCCGTTGGGGTTCCACGCGGGACTTTCGTTTCCAACACAGGAGGTGGAGGAGTAGCTTGTGGGTTCCGGGGTCAGAGTGGGTGCACCGACGGAGCCTGTGACGGCGCCAGAGCACGTAGAGGATTTCAAGGAAGAGAGCGGCGAGAGCGAGAGCGATGATCACCGTAATTGCTGTGCCCAGCTTGTTTAGGCCGATCATGACGGACAGTCGGAGCACCCGGTTTCGTCGTCGCTTTTGGCTCCGTAGTCTGTACTTGTTTTAGCTTTCGTTGGGGCTCAAAGTCTTGGTCGTTTGTAGAAAATCGAAAGTGAGCAACGGGTTACCCGAGGAAAAGGTAGAAGGTCATATTATTGAAAATAAACAAGGAATAAGAAAAGGGCAAAGTGGGAGAGGGAGATGGATTAGGGGGAGATGGGGAGAGAAGGTGAGCGGTAAAAGGGTAGTGACAGGTGGATGGACAACGATGGGTTTGAGGTCTCGGGAAATGCAGGGGGAGTTATAATGGCAATGTGGCCTTTAGGAGCTGAGTGGGCTTACGAAAAGGGAAACAGTTGGGACGAAGGCGTAGAGATATGAGCGCATAAAAAGATGATTAATGATGATAATCCGTTGGCGTCATAAATGGAACAGTTACTCATTAACGATGATGTGAGGTCAACACCCGACACCTGTACAGCTGTACTAGGTCTCCCCGTGGGGCCTCTCCCGTTCCAAAATTTAAACCTCGGCCATTCTTAAATTCCAATTCCCTTATTTCAAAACAAATAAATGTATCAAGTTCATGGGAATTTCAAAATGACCATCAGCGCCCTCAACCGGGATGTGCGGGTTCACCCACAAATGACGTGTGCGTGTTTTTTCAATTAATGAGAAGATGGTGGCATTTTTTAGCCTTATTCCTTAAAGCGAGTGGTGGGGAATTGCTGTATTGGATGTGGAGGGTGTACTTGCCCAGCAAAATTACCCATGATCATGGCCCTTTTGGTGATTAAATTTTTTAAAAAAAAAAAGGAAAGGAAAATGACCAGAGTCTCCCCACTCCGCAGTCTCTATTTTGTTTCATCACGAACAAGGCAATAGCATGCCTCCCACAGGTGCCTTTGATGCACAGTTAATTATGTGTTACCGTAAGCATGAACTGATTGGGGGCCGAGCCTTTCATCCATCGGATAATAATATGGCTTGCAACAGCAGTCTCTCAAAGTCACGGGCCTGAAATAACCCGACCCGTGTGCCATCAGGTGATCATTATGTAGTCGATGCTTCCCTCTTTCAAATACGGATTACGGGGTTTCAGAGCTGCTTGAAGTCAGCGTACATAAAATTTAGACCTTTCGAACATAACAAAAAATATCTGGTTTTTATTATCGAGCTAGATTGGTTCTCGGGTAAACTATGAGTTGCCTCGCTTACAAATAATCAATATAATACGACTTCAATTATATTGAGCGGCGATCTCAGCAATTATTTTTATTTTTTTTTAGTGAAGCGATCTCAGCAATTATTGAGTGTACCTTTTATCATCATGCGGGTTGAGTTTATGCCCCATGCATGTTATTGCCGCCAATTTTCAGATTAACGTATTGGGGCTTCGTCGTGTGAGAAAATATTACTGCAATTTTTATTGTGACTGTTATATATATCGACTCATTCCATTATATTCAAGTCAAATCAAAATAAGGATCCATGTATCTCTTCGTGAGTAATAAATTGTACCCTTTCTTCCGCTGGATCAGATAATTGCGTATTTTGGATCTTTTTTTTTTTTTTCCCTGCGGGTACTGGGATTGGATTTGATGGAAGGTTTTGATAAAGAAATATAGACAATGAAGTCTTAATTGAACGATTATGAAAACTCCCAAGGGTTAGCGTCAGGCCATTATATAACGAAGCGTGATTGTATTTAACAAATTAAAGTTGGAATGATGAATAATCCTCTTCTCTGAGATTGACGTGTGCTTAATTATATTATGCTACCTCCAGTCCTTAATATAGGAGCTTGTTTGATTTTTATTTTGGTTCTAAATATAAGATCTCAATCTACTTTATTTTTTATATTTATTTATTTATTTTAAAATAGTTTTTGTGTTAGTTTTAGCCAATACATCTGATCAGTAAGAATATTTTAGAAAATACAACGCTTATTTATTATAAATAACTGATTTAATTAATTTTCTAAATCTACTCAAATTAGTCACCTAGCTCTTACTCCTCTTGTTCTTAATATAAGACCCAATTGTTGAGTTGGTTTTGATCCTAAATATAAGACCCATTTCTCATATTTATTAATTTTCTCTAAATTACCCCTATAGATACTTCCTCAACCATAATTAAGTAAAAGAGGAAGAGGAGGTATTAAAAAAGATGATCATGGTATTTTAGGAAAAATGTGTCACATTTTTTATAATTAACTAACTTACCTAACTTCCTTAATCTAATCAAATTAGTTAAATGGGTCTTATATTAAGGATCGGAGGAGTATATTAGGAAAGGAGATAGTAAGAAGAAACTAATCCACAGTGATGCAATGATGAGGACGAGGACATTTGTGCTGCCATATCCTCTAAAATGATATACAGAGGCGAGGAGAGTAGTGCTAAAAGAGGGAATGAGTGGGAGGTTGCACATACAAGGGGAACAGTTGAGCAAAATAGAAAGTGGTTGTTAGTAAGAGGATAAGATATTCATTAATGATTAGTTCACACATACTCAGGCTTTAATTTTACGTGCCAAATCATGCCTTCCCCGAAATAGTGTTCACGTCCAAGAAACACACAGTACGTACAATGGCAGCATTCTATCCATTTTCTTCTTCGTCCTTCTCTTTTCTTTTTCAGGAAAAAGAAAGACGTGTGGTTCGAAAGGGAGGAATCCCTAATATTGAGGGGAGGCATGGGCATGGGATGGTCAAAATAAGTGGAGAGAAGGGACGTGTGTGAAGAAATGGTGAGGATCATAATGAGGGAGGGCTGAGCATGCCAATGCACAACATGATTAGTGTTATGCGCAACGCCACGCGCCCGTCCTCCCATTATCAAACATCTTCTTTTGGGTTCTCTCTGCAAGCAAAATTCAGCAGAGAACCCCAAATTAATCATACCTTCGCAGAAGAAGGGGGAGGGTGCACAGCCACAACATCAATAAAAGGTCACATAATACCAACACAACAACACCACATAACCTCCCCTTTAAAACTCCCTTGTAAGATTTCGCCCCTGATTGATTTTTTTAGCATTTTTTCCGGTAAATGCAGGGCTGGGCTTCAAAGCCCAAACGCGGCTCCCTCCATACCCGGTCGGTACTGGATACCCAGTTCATATTCCTTCACGCCCTCAGATCTCTTTTCAATATCTAGGTCTGTGTATAATCCTCATAGCATTTAATTTGGGCTTCTGGCCTCCTCTTTACCCAAAAAGCTTTGCTTCTCTGTACAACGTTCTTAGCCCAATACCAGCAGGCCTCAACAAATCCAATAACACGGGTCTGAAAAGTCGACTTCCGTTTAACCATTTACATCAATGCTTTAAGCTTGATAATTATGAAAGCCTGAATTAACCAACAGGGATTGGTCCAAGTGGTAGGCGGCTTGGTACCGTTTAAGTGAGGTCTCAAGTTCGAGTATCAACGTATGCAGAAATCCCCATTGGGAGACTCACCCACCATAGCCAGGTGCGCGACGCGGGTCGGACCCAGATGTAGTCGAAACAAAGCTCCGATAAACTGGGTGGGCAATAAAAAAAAAAAGAAGAAGCCTGAATTAAAATAGGACATCCGCACATTTAATCCGATCCACGTAAATATTAATTAATTAGAGTTGGTCATGTGTATGATCTTCGCATACAACCCTTGAAGACTTGCATTGTTCACAACTTCACATGACTGGCAATGAAATTTCTTTTACTTTTCATGTTCCTTATTAATCATCTAAAATAAAAATAAAATAGTGGAATTACTGTCGATTGTACGAGAGGGAACTTGAAATGAAATAAAATATATATATTTAGGAGCAATCAATAAGTATCTTTCAAATAAAAAATATTAGTCCAGTCCTAAATATAATATCGAAATATAATTACACTACAAACCAGATTAATTCACGAGATTACAAGCCTGGATGGGACGCGTTTAAGACGGGAGAAGTATCGCTCTCTGGTTTTGAAAGGATAGAAGTATAAATCAAATATGGAAAACGAATGGAAAGTGCTCTGAGAAAACGACCCAACGCTCTTGAAAAAGCAGCGTCATTCATCTTGGAAACCTAAAAATCGTAGAGATTCTTTGATTTTCGGATTGGCGTGATCAGCTACCCCCACGTAATTCCCTTTTGATCGCCTCTTCTCCATCACACGACACCAAAAATCAACACGCCACACACACACACATGGTGGTGGAAACTGGAAATGGCGGTGTGGTGGTGCCTCCCTCCCAGGCTTCTCAATTCCTGTTAAGTCAAGCCTGAAACAACATGCAGCACATGAAACTGCCTTGGATCCCTGGACCTCTCATCACTTTCAAATTAATGATCATTTCCTCAAAAGCATCCCAAAAGACGACAAAGACTAAGAATATGACGCTCCCGTGACTGGGAATACATCCATATCTATAGATTGCAAGGCACTTTTGGATCTGGGGGATTTCCCTTACTTTCATGCACAAGTCGCCAACAAAGAGAAAGATAAAACAGGAAAATAGAGCATGGAAATGAGCTCTGGACAGTGACCTTAACCAAAACAACCATATGTCCAGCCCCCCCTTTTCTTAAAGTCTGAGAAAGCCTTAACTGTGTGTGGAAACTTTGTCTTCATCTTCATACGTTGTTGTCTTTATTCTTGGTGTGCCAATACGCCCTTTTCTTTTCTTTTGGTGGGTCTCTCGAGCTATCACACTCTATTTACTGGCTCTCCCTTTCGTTTATCTGTAAGACGACTTCGCATTCGATGCATTCCAGCTAGTCTGTCCTCTCTTTTGCGCGGGGTGTCAAAAAAATATTCTCAGATAGATGCTTGCAGGACTTTCGCTGCAAGGAAATTTCAAACTTAACCTGATACATTGAACGTTGTGTTCGTCTTTTCAAAACTTCAGTTACGTAGGCAAGAGCGGTGGGCCAAGAACTAAATCCATATAATGTATTTCACATGCACATACGAAAATTAAGCACACTCGTTTAATTGATACCAGTTTCAAAATGAGCCATAATAACGAGCAACTAATAATATACTTGCCAATATACTTTAACTAGTCTTCCCCCATTCTTGAATTCCCTCTCT